TGTTGTTTTCTAATAAATAGTTAATTAAACTTAACTAAGCAATTTTTCTAGGACATGATAGAATTTAGCTGGCAGATAATCATACTGTGTTCTGAGAATATTGTGTGGAATCCAAATTTCCTTCCCTTGTCAATGCACCGAAGCCATTTGGTAAAAAAGAGAAGGTGGAATAACGTTTTGATGTTAACTAGGAATAAATCCCTTATTTCATTTGTTTCCCAGGAATACTAATAGTTAATAGAACATCCCACTTAAATAATAAAATGCAAAGTATTTTAGAAACAGATAACATTTCAATGACTGGGATAATCAAATGAGTCCAACATTTCTTGTGATAATAGCCAATAAAATTGCAAAGAGGGAAGAGGAAAACTATAATTTTCTATATAAAACACCTAGTCCCACTTTAAAATCTGTAATATCTATATATAGTGCTGTATTTCATTTTTAAAGATACAGACAGCAAAAATATTCACATTTAAACTTCTTATACAAATCTTCTTCTGTTCAGGAGAACCAATTATAAGAGCAGGGAAACTTAACAGAGGAAATTCTCCTTGGGAGACTTATTCAACTGAGAATTTCTCTTTAGAATAGTTTAAAAAGTAATTAAAGAAGTCTCAGGTGTGTTTTTCACCTCTTTTAAAATCTGAATTATAGTTCATGGGAAAAGTGAACATTTTGGTAAAATTAATAGTGCCAATTCAATTTCTTATAAACAATGTCTACTCAAAACTATGATTGCATGATTCCTGGTATTATCAGTGAAGTGACTAAGGGTTAAATAATTATGTTTTGAGCTAGCGTGAGTATGTTAAATCTGGGGATAGGAGACTCCTTCTGTTTATGTACTATTTTTCATTTCAAATCACTTTTATCAGCTATTTTGCCATTGAAATGAAAAAGCAGTCAAAGAAAATTATGTTTAATAGTTATCAGTTGTGCTATAAAATAATGCAAATCACAGTGGGAATGTTTTGTGAGGAAACTTCACACTACTAATCCTAACACACACACACAGGCAAACACACACACATTCAGTATGCAAAATACAAGTGCTGTTTTTTTGCTTTTCCAGTATTTGTCAGGTATGGTTCACAGACCCAGGGAGATCCCTACACATGCTTAATATAGAGTACCACTGCTTTAAGCAAAGGCAAGTTCCTGCACCTTTCAGCAAACAAGAAACTTATTCCACAAGGAGGGGAAAGTATAAATAAAAGATTGAACTTACTTTTTGGAAAATACATGGCAACCCCCCTGCCACCCGACATTGGACTTCTCCCTCCCATACTGTGCACTCGTAAGTTACTTGTATCAATTAGCATTTTCAACAAAAGAGTTTCAGTCATCACTTGATATGGAGGGTGACTGCTTCCAGGATCCTTGTAGATACCCCAAACTGTGGATGCTCAAGTCCCTCATATAAAATGGCACAGTATTTAGTATAACCTATGTGCTTTCTCTCATTTACTTTCAATCAGCTCTACATTACTTATAACACCTAACACAATGTAAATGCTATGTATATAGTTGTTATACTGTATTATTTTCTGTAGTATTTTATTTTATTTTTTTAGTTTTTAAAGTAAAAATATGTCCATTAGTGGTTGGTTGAATCTGGGAATGTAAAATCTGCATATATTGAGGGCAGATTCTATAGTACATAAAATATAAAAAAGGGAAAAACAAAATAATGCATTCCAAAGCCAAGTAGCTATGATTTATGTGAGCTTCTAATCAATAGTGATAATCAAGAATAAAAATTACAATTGTTAATCCTGGGAAAACTACTATTAGTACTATATCCTATAGGAAGATGAAAATTGTAGAGCCTGAAAAGGTAAAAATATTTCTTTTGTATCTTATTTCTATTGGAGGGTGCAGGGATTGGGAGCGAGGCATGGAGCAAGCCATGGAAGAAGTAATCAAGACTTCACGGTAGTAAGGACCATGCAAACAGGTCTGAATGCTTTGCTGCACATTCCCAGAATAATGTGATGAAGAAAAGGTGCAGACAAGTGTAGTACTCTTAGTGCCCTAAAGTGAACTTATTTTCATTTGCTGTCTTTTAAACTACAGAAAGGATGTTAACTAATGACTTTATGAAATATAATGGAGTTGAGATAGCTCAGAGAATCACAAAAATAGAAATGGACATTTTCCCTATTTTATTCCTGGAGGAAAAGAGGTATTTTGGGCACTTTCCATGGGGGAGCAGAATTAATCTTTTGTCAATACAGAAATCTTAACTTCTGATTATTCCTAGCTGTGAAATTTCTATTCATCAATAATTGAGTTCAAACTAGGACATTTTTTAAAGGAGTACTAGATTCACTCATCTGATATGTGGTGTATTACCAGATCAATGGCACCTCATAGCCTTTGTTCGCATGGGAAACTTTGCTATAAGAAAGACAGCTGATTAAAAATCATACATACCTTAGAAAGAATGCTATGTACATTCAAATGTAGTGAGTTAGGCAGAATGCAAAGCAGAGTAACAAGAATTTTTTAATCTACTATCTATTTTCCACATTTTACATGTGTATTTCTTATGTTCAATGTAGGCAAGAATTGCGGATATTATTACTGTGAAGTGGCATCATAAGAATCACCCTAGGGTCAGGCTGCACATATCAAGACCAACACAAATGCATTAATGGGGAAAGAAAACACAAGAGAAAAAGGTTAGACTTATTACAAGAAAAGAGGATAAGGTTTAAATGATCCAAAACTCAGATGAAAATTAATATACAGATACACTATCTTCCATTCAGTGTATGAGAGATTTAGATATAAAAAGTAAATATCCTTACATTCTGGTTTTCTTGAATATGTTTTTCTCCTCAAAAATAATTTTTCACCTATTTCAGGAAAGTTTTAAACCTGAAATAGTTATTTTTAATCTGAGTTCCAAGAAAAAAAAAGTACTTATGATGAGTTGATTGCTATTCATTAAAAAAGAACAAAATTTTACCTTTTTTGACCACACAGGTTAGAAATAATGGGGCCCGCGATGCCATTCATAGTCTAGCACTATCCCCAAAATAAGGAAGGGCAAGTAAAAATCAGGTTGATGATTCTTTGTGAAAAGAAATAACACCTTCTCAGAAGGCAAATAAAATAAATTCACAATCAGTAACAATGGAGAAAAGAGTCAACAAAATATTTGAAAATTCTAGCATTATTAAGATTTAGCTTCATAATCAAAGGACTGTCAATTTTTGTACAATGCAATAAAAAGTATTCTTGGTAAATTCAGATGTCTGTACATAGTGGCATCTTCAGGTTTCCTTGGCTTGAGGTAAAGACCCTTCAGTCTAAATTGTTCATGAAATGTCTCTGACGGGGGAGCCTGAGGCTGCTCTCCAGTGTGCAGTCCCAGGCTCCTCAACAGTGTGTGCGATTCACGGTGACTTGCTTTATTATAGTTTAAATCTGCAACATAAATTTAATTCAGCTCCTTTTTCTCCCTTCAGTATTTCTGCCCAGCATTCTTGTTATGTACAGGCAAAATATTTGCTTTCAGAAGTAATAAATCAGTACAAATTTGAGAGAAATAAGTCATCTGGGACCAGGAACTAGCAAATACAGTCACGTGTTGCTTAACAATGGGGACACATTCCATGAAATGCATCCTTAGGTGATTTTGTTCTCGTGCCAGCTTCATAGAGTGTCCTTATACAAACCTGGGCGGTACAGCCTGCTGTGCACCTAGCTATGTGGGAGGGCCTATTCCTCCTAGGCCACACACCTGTACAGTACGTGACTCAATGGAATACTGAAGGCAACCCTAACACAATGCTAAGAATTGTATCTAAACATAGAAAAGGTACAGTAAAAATGTGGTATTATTGTCTTTTGGGACTACCATTTTATATGTGGTCTGTGGATGGCCAAAATGTCTTGTGGGGAGCATGACTGTACACTGCAAATTTTCACTCTGGTGACCACAAACCTTGAGGAAAGAGAAGATTCTTACGTAAGATTAAACAATGCTTTTCAAAGTCTCTGGAGTTTGGATATATAGCTGGTGTTTATCATGGTAACTGTTTCACAATTTATACAAATGATCATCAATTACCTTTTAGAATCTAAAACTAACATCTTCATACCTTTATGATTTGGGTACTTGTATGTATAATTAAACACAGAAACCCAAGATATCTGCCAAGTGCCATAGAGCAAGGTGCTTTCATCAGGGAAGTATTTTTTTCCCCCCAACATTTACTCACTTTTTTCTGAACAGTTACACAATGTAGATTTGGCCTGCTGAAGTCAGGGACTAGATGAGGCAAAGTCACTAAAGGTGCTTTTCTCTGAATGAAAGCCCTATATCCCAGGAACAGAGCAGGGGCTGTGCTGCCAGGGGGAAGGTATGCACAGAGGGGACGGATTGCAGTCAATTCTGCTGCTAGCAAGCAAGAGACCTGGGGAGCAAAGCAGCACTCCAGAGGCCCTCGGGTGTGGTAATCACTCTTTCCTCCTTTGTGCTGAAAATCTCAGTAATTTCAATGTATCTGCTTGCAATGTCTGTGTGAGTATGTTCACGAGAAGTCTGAAAAAAATCAGATACCATTTCACATAGTATGTTATTAAAATTTACCTCTAGGTCCTAGGAGTGCTGCAAGTACTAGAAGTAAATTTAAGAAATAGTTTTGTTATCACTTCCGGGCTTTATCAAGTTAAAGAGAAAACATGTTGATACAAATTTGACAACCCTTGTCACTTTATTGCTATGGTCCAAGTAATTTGAGCTAATTCATGGATTTCTGTACCATCTAAGACAAACAAATGAGAACCCCATTTAAAGCAATTATTGCAGAAATATACTGTGTGAGGCCCTACTTAAGCTTTTGTTGACTGCACGTGTTTTTCTCAAATAAAAAATACAAAAATAACTTTCAATGAAAGTAACTGAGGAGTTGTGTGATTCAACATAAAGAAGAAGACAGTCTCTTCTACTTTTGAGACAGTACACTTGGGATTCACAGGATAACTTGCATCAGACGCAATTTAATGAAAGCTCTCAAATAAGCGATTTTATTCCTATCCATGATTGCAGACATTTACAAAACCATAACATCTGAGTTCACCTTAAAAAATAACTTATATAAAGCAGTGATATACACAGCACAAAATAGTTCAGGGAGGGGGCAGGAGCAACTTTTAATAATTAAAATGTAAACGTGAAAAAAAGGATGGAATAAAAGTCCCTACTTATTTCTACTGAAGATGTCATGTGATAATATTTTACAATGTCCGGTGGGTCGATGTCTGTGTGTGTATATGTCCTTACAGCATACACATATACAGCACATTCTCTTCCCCACACGTGTACATACACACATACTTATTTGCAGTTCAGTTTAGGGCAATTTTTCTAATATGCCGCTCCGTACAGTTGTTTGAATCACGGTTGGACCCGCTTTCTTCACAAAATAGGGGAGAGAGCAGGAAATAAAAAGGTTGGTTTGGTGTGACTGAGATTCCTTTGTTTAACTGTACACTGTGATGAATAATTTTCTTCTGTAGTAGTTCTGTGAAGGGCTGACTCACTGTGGTTTTCATGAGGAGACTTGGTAATGGATCACACACTCATTGTCATGCTAGGGGAGTACTAGAAGGAAAGAAGAGTCCATATTTTAATAACAATTCTTTTATAGACCACTTACCAAGGTTCTTCTTGGTACAACAACAGAATCGATGAATTTTCATTTCTTACGATCTTTTATGCTCAGGCTTTTACTCTCATATAATATAAAATAAGAAAAGGAGTACATTTCTATAGACTTAACTTAGTTCTAAAATTTTTAACATTTCCCCTAAAAAGCAATGAGTCCTACCCTCTCTTTGGACCTAGGAGGCTGATAATTACCTAGTCTCTCAGCCTTCTCCTTCTAGCCAGATTTATGTTTTGTAGGTACTTGTTAACAAATTTGGGTAAATTCAGCTCAAGGTTGAATCATAATGAAAAAAGGATTATGACCAGTCTTTGCTATCTAAGCTATGTACACTGGGGGGCAAGGGAGCTGTCTAACTTCTCTTGACTTCTGTTGTCCTACTTATAAAATGAGTTTAATAATAATATCCATCTTAAGAGCATTTTGGGAAGATTGATTCAATATAAAATCCTTAAAACCATGCATTTATTAAATACATAGAAAGTGCTCAGTAAATGTTAATATTATAGGAATTAACACCTAACAAAAACTCCCAGCTGCCTATAAGAAGCTTTCATGAAAACATTTAAAATACTTAAGAGTCTGGGGCTGGGCAGGGTGGCTCACACCTGTAATCCCAGGACTCTGGAAGGCCAAGGGAGGCAGATTGCTTGAGCTCAGGAGTTCAAGACCAGCCTGAGGCAGAAAGAGACCCACTCTCTAAAACACAGCTGGGCATTGTGGTGGGCCCCTGTATTCCCAGCTACTTGGGAGGCTGAGGCAAGAGAATCACTTGAGCCCAAGAGTTTGAGGTTGCTGTGAGCTATGGCACCACAGCACTCAACCCCAGGGTGACTGAGTTAAACTCTGTCTTCAAAAAAATAGAGTCTGATTTATATACGTCAGCATACAGGCCTCTTGCTCTTAATTTGTAGCTGCATTCTCAACCCACAATCATTTTTAGTTGGGAGCAGAGACATTGTTGTTATGTGCTTACTTGTCAGTTTGATAAGTAAAGGGTGAGACTTTCAGAAATTTGGAAAATGTAGTTTCAAAATGATTTAGAGAAGAATAAAGGATAATTGCTTTGGTAATTATGCCGATCTACCCTAATATTCTTGAAGAATAAATTCTAACAAAATTTCTAGAGCAGCACCATCCAATAAAACCTTCAATGACAGACCTGTTCTACAGTCTGCTGAGGAACTGAATTTTTTTTTTTTTAATCTATGGTATATTTCTATGTCTGTATATGATCTCATTTTCTTTTTCTTTTTTTTTAAAAATTAAATCATAGCTGTGTACATTAATGCAATCATGGGGTACAGTGTGGTGTTTTCATATATAATTTGAAATATTTTCATCAAACTGGTTAACATAGCCTTCATGCCATTTTCTTAGTTATTGTGTTGAGACATTTATATTCTACTTTTAGAAAGAGTCACTTGTACCCTTGTAAGATAAACCATAGAGGTGATCCCACCAATCACCCTGAGGAACTAAATTTTTATTGTTAGCTATTGGAATTTAAATTTAAATATACACCTATAGCTAGCAGCCACCATTTTGGACAACACCCTTCTGGATTATCTGAACTCTGGAGAGAGGTATCCACTCCCACATTGGTAATGGTCCCTAAAAGAAGACAGTTTCTAAAATAAAATGTAAATACGGACCTCTAATTATTTATATGTTGTATTGGAAATCTGTGAAGACCAGGGTAAAAGGTAATCCCTTTCAACATGCTAATAATAATTGTGCTTCATGGAAAGAAGTGGATATAGTCAAAGGAACGAGTCCCACGCTGGCTACAGGGGCTTAACCAAGAACTGTGATGATCCTGGGGTTGGGAAGCATGGACTTTTTCAAAAGGTATCAAAATGAGTAAAATGAATCTCAGATATGCTGTGACAGATCACAGAAATCAGAGGAGGTACAGGTGAATCTTGAGGTACGGACGGATCACAGTGAGAAAGTAGGATTCCCCAGGGAAGAGCACAGAGTGACAAGGGCTCGGCTTGCACACATCTGGAATGGAAGTCATGAGGGCTCCAACTGAGAACACGCACTACTCCTGGGGAAAGGTGGGTGTCTGGCCCTGGTAAAAGGGTCTCCGGACGATATGGAGAGGATTGGATTGTTAATCCCTTAAACATAGGTCACATCAAGGAAAATCCACTTGCAAATCACTTACTAGGCTATGGTTTTGCTTCAATATAGGACAGTTTAGTTACATACTTGAACTGACGGTGTATGCTGGATTATAGTTGAGTATGGGGCGATAAAGAGGACAGACTGCTAGAGAAAAGAAAGGGGATTCTTTTACACTTGATTGTGGCAGCAAAAAAGCAAACCAAAGCAAACCAAAGCAACCCCCCAAAATAGATAAAGACAAGGGCTGATGAAATGGAGCCCACCCCGACGCTGCACCAGAATGGGAATATGCCCCCATTTCATCACAAGATGCCATGCAAAGTCTCACATTATAAACAATGACAGCAAACTTCAGTGAAGCTGAACCTTTGTCTAAGCAGAATTATATTTTGGCATATGACTTTTAAGGACAAGAATAAAAAGCAAGAAAATAAAACAGATACCAAGGTTTTACTAGAAATAGGAAAAAAATAGAGAATATAGTGCAATGGGCACAGAAAATTCAACCTATGCTTTCTATAGCCACTGTTATTTACAGTAAGAACTGGTGATCTAATCAGTGCTGCCCCACAGAATTTACTGTGATGATGGAGATGTTCTGTGCTGTGCTCCTTCTGGCAGCACGAGGGTCACCAGCCACATGCAGTTATTGAGATGTAGTAAGGACAATTTAAAACTAAAAATGTAGTTGTATCTAATTTTAATTAATTTCAATAGCACAGCTAGATAATCATTACTTTAAAACAAAGATTTTATTGAGTATCCTCTGTCAATAATGTAAAATAGTAAAAGATACTAAAGCATTTCAGATAGGACCTCAAAGGATACGCTTTTTGAAAAGTTTCTGGATAATTCACATTTAACTCTAGACACCATCTCATTTAATGTATATCCTGAATAATCAGGATTTTAAAAATTATTAAATTCTTTTTTTGTAAGTGTTTCACTAGTTCATTCATATGTCGTGTAATATTAGGCAACAGTGTGAAAAGTAAATAGCAGCCTTCGTTCTAATACACACCACTACAGGCATGTCTATGTAAGCTTAGACATAGGCCCATGCTCTGTTAGCAGATATTTTTATTGGTTGCTATCATCTCTAAACACTAGCAACTGTCAACATTTTTAGACTCTATGATAATTCAAATCTTTCAAGCAAATTTAACAGAAAAATTCTAAGTTGTTACTGATTTATTGAGAAGTTAAGAAAACTAGGTTTTCTCAGGAGTGAAAAAACAGGGTCTTGCAATAGAGACAAAAAGAACCAGATTCAGTCATAAAGGAAGAAGTTATCAGCTACAAGAAAGACCGCTCAAAAAAATTAGAAAGCTTCTAGTAAAGTTTAATTTTCGAATTGTAGAAATAACTGTAAAATGACATGCTGTCTTTGGTATCGTAAAATAGTTTGTATTTATGCCTGTGTGTCTACACAAGCAATATGCTATTCTCGTTCTAAGGCTGTGAACTGCTCATCTTCAGCTGCATTTATTAAAACTATTTTGAATGAATACAATTAGGAAAAAAATCACAAAATTTCTAGGAAAACTCACAGAATGAGCAAGCAAAAAGGAATTTCTGTCACTGGTCACTATACTTCAAAGTAATAGAGAAGTAGCTTACAATTTTACTTTCCAGAAGTAAAGAAGAGTAGGTGATAAATGGAGTATCCTATTAGGAACATAAAATATTCATGGTGTGCTGTACCGAGATCACACTCCACTGTTCTGTTGTACTGCTGCATCAATATGTGATGACATATTGTAATGTTTGTGCCAAAATGCTGTGCTATCAGGTTGCCCTGTTTTAAAACTATATTGAGTCTAGTTTTCAATCTGATGATAAAATGGCTCTTACAAAGCCGTCATCAGCATTACAGGTTTTGGTTTAGCAAAAAATGTAAACCCTAAGGAAATTATTTTAAACACACATGGGTCACTATGAAAGTTCTGAGATAGAGTGTGTTATGGTCCATTATTTCACTTCCGTGAAACACATTCAATAGGATCCTTTCTTATTCATCTGTGTAAATTTTAACTTGCTGGGCTTACTGATGTTGTTAGGTGGGTTTGTTTATTTCCATCCATGCCAATATTATGTTTCTTGACTTTTGTGCATCTCAGAAATTTTGTAATGACCTGTATATTAAATTATTTTATCATTTAATATAAAATTTATTTTTGAGATGATATGCCTTAGTTTGAACTTGTGATTTTTAAAATTTATACCTACTTCATGTACCATAAAATCACATCAAAGATATCCAATAACAAAGCTATCTCTGAATGGTGTGTATAAATTACTCTGTTTATACATGTCAAGAACACTTAAGGTGTCATGACATTTCTATGTCTAAGCATATCGGTATTTTATTTTCTTAATGAGAAGAAATAAAGAATAGTTCCTCTGCTCTGAGCTAAAGTGAAATAAATTTAGTGTATGTGATTCCAGAAAAAATTGGGGCTGATGTGATTTCTTCACCAAAGCAGAAAATGAGAGGTATGGGCTATAGGAGATGATCTATGCTTTGTAATTCCTACTTGATACATGAGTATCATGTTTACTCAACTGATTCAAATTAAATACAATGGGAACATATTTCTTTCTAAATTAATTCAGGAAATAAGCCAATCACCTTCTTCACTTGAAGAAAGTATGAAAAACTATTTTTGGCATGAAGTCTTTGTATTCTGTACTTTCAAAAACCAAACATTTTACAGTTTGAACACTAGGGGGCATCTTTGTAACTTGAAATAAAGAGCCTTGTTTGTGATCCAAAAAAAAAAAAAAAAGCTGGGTAGCGTTTGATTCATGTTTTGTTTTGTTAAGTATGTTGTCACTGTAAGGTTTATGACTTTGGGTTGGACATTTTTTTTCTATATTAATTAAATCAAGCATCATGTGTGAGGTGATTAGGATAGTATCTGGTACATGATAAGTACTCATTAGATGTTCATTTCCTTATGAGGCCTCCTTCTGTATTTTAACTTCAAGATAAAGATTTAGAAAACCTCAAATGTCAGACTGCTCAAAATATGCGCTTTTCACAGTTATGTGCATTAAAAAAACACTACAATTTGCATGTTAATTTACTGGAAAATGTTTTCTTTTTCAATTCGTTTAGTTCTGCTTTTCCTTGATTATAGTAAAGCTAATCAAGTGGAGATATGTCACTCATTTAATTCTTTAAAGTCTTAATCTGTCAGCACTGAATCGCTTTTGTCTTTTTTGCCCTCTCTTTTCATTGCTTGACCTGATAAAAGTCTATACAGGAATGTGTGGTAACAAGATAGACAAAGCCACGAAAACTGTGACATCACTCATCATCAGGCAGTTCTCACTAGACAGACAAAAGAAGGGAGCAGCCAGTGGGGACCCGCTCCCAAGGCCGTACTACCCCTGCAGGGCAGTGGTGTGGGTTCTCAGTCCTCCATCCAATTTATTTTCCTTTTGTAACTTTTCTGGTTTGGACAGGAAGGAAAAAGGGAGAAGAAGCACAGAGCTTCTGTTTTCTGCTAATTCTGCCAAAGTCTGACATTGAAGATCTTTCGTGGGTTCAGGGGCAGAGAAGCTGGGCCAGGAGTCAGGAGTGGAGGGAGGAGCCCTGCTCTAGCCTTCTCTTTTCTTAGTCACTCACAGTCCTCATAGGAGGACCTGCTGCTTTGCCCGTGCACGGTCTGCTTGGGACTGAAGGGTGTGGCTGGTACAGATTCTGTGCAAAGAAGTTCTTCAGGTCCTGTTTTGTCTATATTTTTGCCCCATTAAGATTTTCTGATGCCTGTTTTGAAATGTACCCCTCTTCCAACTATTAAGGCGGAAGTCACCAATGACAAATCTGGGAAGGAAGTAGAAGGAGACTTCTCCTGTTCCTGCCCATACAGTTAAAGTCTTGTGGAGCTGAACTCTTCTAAAAAACATTTTTCCAATCACAAATTAATTGTTGCCTCTTATTTTTAAAATACCTGGCTTATATGTGTTCTAGCAGTGATGAATCAGACATGTTTTAGTTATGTAAACATGTATTTATTTTTCCAATTGGACTGTATTTTTTGAGGGTAGGTGTGTTCTATTTATTTCAGAATATATTGTCTTTAGACTAGTGCTTTACATTTAGCAGGCTCAATAAATGTTAAACTGAATTATCATAAACCTCACTGAATTATACCATTTTATTGCCGGAAAAATTAGTAGAAAGAGAAATAAATGTCTCTAATTAGATAAAAGTAAACACAGGGAAATTAACTCATTTGTCCATAGCCCTGAAGCAAACCACTGTAAGAACTAGGACCTAAAAAATAATTCCCCTGATCCAAGTATGATGATTTTAACTCCATAGCTCTTTATGTATTTCTCATCACTGATGGGCTAAGCTTTTGAAATTTCATATAAATTTTAATGTGTATCTTCTTTGTCCTCACTAGTCATATACATCTTACAAATAAAACAAACTAAAGAGCAACAACATTTTATTTCTAGTTTTAACAGAAATGATGTCTAAAAACTGGGCAAGTCTTGTCCCTGCAGAGGTTCTGGGTCGATACCTAGAAATGAAAGAGTCCACCAAACACTCAATCTTGGGTTCCGTTTTGGGAAGCAGCTACTTTGGGTAAAAGTAGACATGCTGTTAGCTGCTGCTTCAGATTCTGATGGTATCAACTCTGGTAAGGGTTGAGTTAGGCAAAATGAGGGTAGTTTGTCTTCTGATGTTACCTGTAGCTTAAGAGATCCTCCATACTAAGTTTCAATGATGGCATGGATCCTAGGAAGATGAAATTTGTTTGGGTTTTGGAATTTAGAGACATTTTAGTAACATAAAAACTTATAAGAAGCAGCAAATAGGAAACATATTTTCAGTTTGCTCCTTGACAGTGGATGCTATGTTTTTTTGTAACTATGCATATGGAAGAGGAGTGAAAAAGAAAAAACTTGTCTTTAAAATTTTTTTCTAAGAAATTCTACTTAAAGATTCTTTTAACTTTAAAAAGATCAACCTACTGAATTCTAAATTAATAGCAGTAATAATGAACTTATGAATTTTTTCTAATAGTAGAACTTCAGAAATAAAATCTGGATGTGACAATATAGTCAAGGGAATACTTACACTTTCACTCTGAAAAGGATTTAAGAAATTTCCCCCCATTTCGCCATCATCCCTTGGAGTGCCGGGTTGATTACTCAGGCTCATATTATTGGGAGAATTCTGTAAACAAGATTTAGAAAACAAGGCATTGCTGAAGTTTTTAATTCCCTCTTACATTATACTGTTTCAAAAATTGAATCTATAATAGCATCTCTAAGGACAAACAATACTTAGAATTTTAATCTTAGACTTCTACCAGGTATTCTTGTTCATTCTTTGAACTTTGACAAGTACTAATGCTTTTCCAAATGAAAATTTAAAAACAAACAAAAATCCCCCAAATTACCTACTGCAACTATTTTCTTAGTATCAGAATCAATATTTATTTAATTTCTCACTCTCAGGTAATAGAGGTCCTAGAACTCTGGAGGGTTTAAAAAACACTCCCAGCAGGGTTGTGATGAAGTGATCCTACTCATTGATACGGCCTGATGGAACAATAACTCCCTTAGTAATTTCACTAATCAAACGTAAAAGGTAACTTTTTAAATAAACATTTCCCTTTAATTTCATATGCAGTCTATAGATAACACTATTTCAATTTTTATTATTTTCAATATGAAACATAAGGAAGAAGTTAATAACTTTAGTTAAGAATGAGACGCCTTAAGGACTAGAGAATCTGTTAGTACTCTAGAAGGAAAGGAGGCGCAAAAGTAAGCTGTGTTAGAACATTTTCCTATAATTCAGAGCAGATTTACTTTTCAGATAAAATGGCTGCTGTTAGCAATCCAATCAAACATTCAGTTAGTATAGCAATGCTTCATATCTTATTTAAATTTGCTCATGTCATTATTACTGTGCAATTTTAGCCATGTCAGGATATATGATACTCCATAATGATAGGAAATACAAAATGGTATGTACATGGAAACCAAGTTTATATAGTATTATGACTGTGACTGAGGGAAGTCTTCCAAGGTTCAATTTATAGACAAGTGAAAAAAAACCTCCAGCATTAAACATTTTTATTTGTTATTTCAAACGGAAGAAAGATTTTACATTATTTTCCTAACTCATATTGTTTTACAGTAACTTTCTGAATTTTTTAAAGAACGTTGCTCAGAGGTTTTTGATTTAACTACAATAAATTATTCCACAAACATTAAAATTTCATGAATAAGTTATTCCCAAAAGAACATGTGCTTTTTAAGAATATGGTTAAACTGTAAAGCACAGACAGGTAAATGAGCTGGTGGAAATACGCTCATACCTTGTCTTGCTGTGCACCCCATAGGGAGGATCTAAGCCAAAGGAACCTCTGAAGTCCACAGGCACTCAATATACCAATAAGCCCCAAGGACTCAGCCACCATACTTGAAACAGCATAAAGAGGATTCCATTTTTTTTGATAAATTTTTCTCTGAAAATGTTAGTTTCCTAAGTATATAGAAAAGCAACTGTACTTTGCAGTGAACATAAATATCCTGATTTACTAGAAGAAAGTTTAAGTAAAATTTTAAAAGTACGTTATTTTATAATTCATTGACTATTAAAATTATCAATTAAATAATAAACTATGCATTAAAAGCAAAAATGATAGTGGTAACTTAGCTCAAAAGGAAACTGAATTTATTTTAAAAAGTTGCAAGATTTACCCCAAACCTGTACGTCCTTTTGGTAAATGCATACTTCTATCATTCTGTACATAATGGAGAAGTTGGCTGTATCAGAATAAAATATAATCTAACATATATGTAAGAAAATTTTAGGATGTACTTAGAAGCTGCCTATTTTATACAGTGAAAATGAAGAATGAAATGAGCCCTCTTCGTTCTGTGTAACATTCACACACCCGCTAGCATACTGGGTGCCTCCAGGAGCAACACCTCTCTGACTCAGCTGGGGTGTTTAAATCTCTGCTGCACTTTTGCCACGTATGATTTTTTGGTTTATAATTTTGGAAGTGTAGTTAACTTCAAATCTGATTCCTGACTCAAAGTAGATTTTAAGATATTTAGAATTTGAAAGTTGCTAATATTAAAATATATTCAGTGTTATTATTTCTGTTTCCATGCAATCTCCTCATAGCATGGTGGCTCAGCATTATATGCTTTTTTGGAGGGTGGCGGTATTTAAGGACTTTGAGAGGCAGATGAAAAGGACACAGTTAGCATGCAAAACTGAGATAATATCAGTTCTCTGATATTAGAAGAATATAGGAATATGTGCATTGTTATTCCTATCCAGCTTACTGAACTGTATTGGAAAACCTTGAGGTGACAGGAATGAATCTATATATGTGTGTACATATATCCTGAAGTAATCATTGCAAAATGTGAAAACAAGAGCTCTTCTATGGAGAGTCTCACAGTTCTGTGGTCCATAATCACTGAGCAACATAATGATGGCTGATACAGGCTAAAGAGCATAACTGTAGCTACATTTGTGTCTCCAGCAGCTTGTATCATTAAGGCAAGAACATAATGTACAGAAAGGATTTAGCTTGGTCAAAAAGACACTCCAATTTGCTTGAGCATATAATTAGGGAATAGGAGCACAAAAGAATACAAGAGCTCTTCTAGCTACATTAGGCCCATTGGTTACATTTTTTATTTAAGTTAATGTGTACTTCCTACTTTAAGAATTTAGCTTAAAAAAATAGGATTATATGGATTTCATCTTTTTTTTTGGGCGGGGGGGGCTAGCAGATTGATTCTCTTGCTTCAGCTTCCCGAATATTTGGGACCACAGGTGCCTGCCACAATGCCTGGCTTTTTTTGTTGTTGTTGTTGTTGTTGTTGTAGTTTGGCCGGGGCTGGGTTTGAAACCCCCACCCTTGGGATATGGAGCTGGCACCCTACTTACTGAGCCACAGGCTCCACCCTATGGATTCCATCTTTAAGGGATTTTATTATATTCTCATTTACCTCATCTTCAAGCTGGAAAGTTTTTAAGCTATAATGTCATATATGAACGATATATATACGCATACACAGACATATGCACAATACACCACACACACAATTTCCTCTGCCTGCCACGTTTAACTCTCTTTCACTCCCGGGTTTCTGATTTAATCTTGTAAATAGTCTTTTGCATCTTCTCTTACATATTAAGTTATTGTTCTTTCTTCCATCATAAAAACTATTCCAAACTTTTAAAAAACTTCTAAATTCTGAATTTTTAAAATTTCAAATTAAAACAAATAACACTTGTAGAAAATTTGTTTCTGCTTATAACTATAATAATATTATTCAAACCCTTTGGTAGTCAATTTTGAATTGATTTCTCACAGGCTGCCAATGTGTTTTATAGAGTATTGTGACTCGGTTGACCTCCAAAAAGAACAAACTGCCAGTTGCTCTCTCAATGGGTACAACTGAGCTAGAACTTCGGCCAGCACACCTGAGATGATGGCAGAGATCTACCTTTGTCAACTTCCCTGGTGAACAGTGTGGGATCTCTAACTGGAACCAAGATTCCTGAGGTCAGAAAGCTAGAGGTTGAAAAGATTCCTGTGACAATTTATTAAACACGATATAATCAGGTTATGATTTTTGGAAGATTTTTTTTAAACCTCAAAATATAATGTGAACTATATTAAGGTAAACTGCCAAGTTTCTTTAGTTGCTTTCCTTCTAAGAAAACAAACCAAATACTTCTCTTCACCCCCATCTCTAAAACAACTCCCCCACCAAATTTTGTTTCATTGATTAAATAGGTTATTCCTAGGTTGAAAAGATGAAAGGAATTTCACATTTCATTTAAAAAGCTTCTAAATTAAAGACAAATCCTGCATTTGGTAAGGTTTACCTCAGCAGGTAAATCTTAACTGAACAAGAAATAATTTTGAAACTTCATGTGAAACTTGAATGCATTTTGCCACTGAAACAGTGCTGTTGAAGTGCAATTGACAGGGTAGCTAGCCTGGCCCACAAAAAGGAAGATATTTAGGGTCTGTAGTATTCAGAGCTATTAGCATAGGGTCACACTTGATTCTAAACGATTTTCTGAAGTAATCAGGGAATGAAGGACAAACTCCATTTTGCAGCTAAGGAAACTCAGCCTATGACAGGCGAACAATTTGTAAGGACCACAGTAGAATCTCCTTTCTGATTCTCAGTTATTTACTGTATATATAAAATAGATAAAATAGAGCATATATACAATAAAAAAGGAGAAAAATAAGTACTAATAAATACTATTTAAAATGGAATAATAAGTTTAAAGAAAATATGCAATCCTGGTGCTTGACAAAACACAATTTTAACTGGAGAACTGGGACAATGTCATTAGAGACCTAAGGGGGATTTTGAACAAAATTACTAAGCAGTAATGGTCAAGGTTGCCATGTGATTCACAAATAAGAATAACTAGACAAAAATGGGAAGAAAGTAAGTGAGCCCATGGAAAAAAGGAGAGGAGAAACCTTAGTGAGATAGCGGGACATGTGTAGGCAAAGGAAGGAAGGTGGGATATGGAGTCAGTGACTGCAAACCTCTGAGTAAAGGACTGAAACAATTATGCTGTGAGTGGAAAGAAGCTGCGAGAAAGAGGTTGGGGCAGGTGGTAACAATACACCTGCTGCTGCTCTGCTGAGAGAAAAAGCAGCTACAGCCCAACAAACACCATCGCCCCCCAGGGCGGCCAGGTTAGAGCCCAGAACCAAGGAACCCAGAGCAAGGGCCGTGCAGAAATGAGCTGTGTGGCCACTCAGTTGAAGGTAGAGGCGGCAGAGGCAGAGGCAGAGGCAGAGACTGTCAAATTGTTAAATGGCATGTTTATCTCTTGAGATCCTACATTAATTTAAATGAATATGAACTCTGTAAAGAATTTTCCTTATGGTATTTGTTTTGTTTCCTCAGTTACAATCAACTTCTTCAGAGTGAAGACCATAACTTACTTATCTCTGGACTTTTAGAGCCCAGCAAAAAGCCTGGGTGCGTTAAGATTTACTGAATGAAGAAATTCTTGTCCAAGTAGAAGAGATTTGAGGGCAGTGACTATGTTTGCAGTTAAAGAAGTCTTTTTTTATCTTCCCATGGTGCACAATGCAATCCCCAGCAAACCAAGTACTCACTGGGTGGTCAGTTAATGCTGAGTGAATAAGCAATACATCATCAGGCAAGAGAATGATAGGAGCAGTGGGCAAGTATAGTGAAAAAACCTTGTATCTGAGAATAGGAATGGGAAAATGCACACAGAAAGAATAGCAATAGATCTGACATGAGGACAGATTAGAAGATGTCATTGAATTCATTATGGCTCTATAGTTTTTAAAGTGTTTTATAAATTACATAGTACTTCCTTCTGTAGGATTTTGTTTATATCTATTAATGTAAAAGGTTATAGGTTGTTAAAGAAAATTTTAGGAAAACGGCCTAAAGCAACGTGGCTTCTCGACTACTGCATTAGAAATTTCATTGGTAACCTCTAAGTACAATTCAGCCAATTCAATTTTTAAAGATGCTTTAAGAGAAAAGGTTCTAATAAAGTTGTATAGGAAACTTTATTTTGAAAACAGGCTTTATGAATACTACTCACAAGGCATACTAGTGCCCATTATAAATATGTATGTATTTTTAGAATAGAAAGAGATCTTTCTGATTGCTCCTAAACATTGACATCCAAAGTGCTAATAAAATTTGTGAGGCTGAGCAGCTATACCTATTAGAGGTATAAAGCAAGCGTATCAATTACTAAACTGATTTTTTTTTAGTTTGAAGTTGTAACTTAAAATGTTTTGTAGCTCAATCTTATTTTCCACAGCATCAGGAATTTTACATTATTATACATGAATATAAATTAGAAATAGAATTAAATATAGTCATTCTTTAATGAATTTTATTAAGAGTAAACGCTGTCAACTTATTTACAAATACGTAACATCTTAATGTGACTATATTGATTATTACTTGGGTAGTAAATAATAATGAAGAGTATTTCCTATCAATTAATCTTAACATGTTTAGGAACATTCTTAAGAGGTTTATTTTATCCTTTCTTACAGATTATATTCATTAATATTTTTAACTTTCTATTCATTATACTTGGTCTTCTACTTTCAAATTCTTGTTCAAAAACACAATTCATAAAGTTACTCTAATAATTTTAATGAGAGTTTTATGTGAAATAAAAAACAGATTAAAAACAATACAGAGAACACCCAGTACTCACCTTGGAAATACTGTCCATATCTCCTGAGCCTGAAGCAAAATATGAAAAGAAAACCTTATTAATATTTTGATTAGAGATTAAGTACTACTTTAATTTAAATAAATCCAGTACACTATATGTATTTTCCAGTGATATCTCCTGAATGGGTAAATCTTAAGACATTCTTATTCTTTTATACCATACAGTCAGTCAGTATCATCTGTTGGTAAAGGCGAGGAATTCTACCTCTAGTTCCCATTTACTTTTTCTCAATAGCAGAAATATTAGAAAGATAATTTATATATACTACCCAATTACAACTTTAAAAACATATATACAGTACGTACACGTGTAGAGGTCTCTACTTATATTTTCTGAAAATGATGCTGTAAATCTGATAAAATATAAACTGAATATTTCCAACAATATGTGACAATATTCCAAAGCATTTTTAGATAATAACCCAAAGCAAAGCATTTTTAATACTATCAAAAATCTGACAGCAATTAATACTTATAGTAATCCATCCAAAACTAAAAATGTCTTTAAATTATATTTTTGATTCTTGAGAGAAATGAACAGTAAATATTAATTTTTCTTGCATATGAAGTAGAATCACACATTAGGTAACAAACGCTATTTTAAACAATTAATGTTCCTGGAATGAAAACCTGCTATATACAGAGACAATGGGAAATTATAGCTAAGTTACCTTTATTTACAAAATATTCATTATAAAATTTTACAAAATATTTACAAAATTTTCTCTATGTGTTGGCTACCTTTCTCCAAACACATAAAGTCTTATCTCCCACTTATGGTGAACATGTTCCAAGATATCATTTGTTACACACGTTTTGTTAATTTTTTCCCAAAGTATGGCAATTTTCAAGACAGTCTGCATCGTAACATTATAACAGTACAACATTGAGTCAACATGACAAAATTAGGGCTTATTATTAATATGATTTACAAATAAATAACATAACAAATTCTTAAATATTAAATGCATATATGTAATCATGTATATATATACATAAATTTATAAAGTAATGGTCATTATAGAAAGTATTAGACACCAAGCATATATGAAACTCTTCTGAAAATTATATTCTAGTAAATTACTGAAAGCCTTCTAACTATAGCCAAATAGTATCTTTTAGTGAATAATACTATAAGTAAAAAGACTGAAGAGTGAATTATTTTGCAATAAATTGAAAAATAAAATTCTAGAATGGTGGCTTGGCACCTGTAACTCAGTGAGTAGGGTGTCAGCCACATACACTGAAGGTGGTGGGTTTGACCTGGCCTGGGCCTGCTAAACAACAAGGACAATTGCAACCAAAAAACAGCCAGGTATCATGCCAGGTGCCTGTAGTCCTAGCTACTTGGGAGGCTGAGGCAAGAGAACTGCTTAAGCCCAAGAGTTTGAAGTTGCTGTGAGCTGTGATGCCATAGTACTCTACTGAGGGCAACATAGTGAGACTCTGCCTAAAAAAAAAAAAAACAAAAGTTCTAGAATGGTGTTGTCCAATAGAACTCTGTGTAATGATGGAAATGTTTCTGTGATGTCTGTTAAGGTAGCCATTAGCTCCATGTGTCTGCTGTGCACTTGTTATGTGGCAATGCATGTGAAGAACTGAATTTTAAATTTTACTTAATTTTTAAAATAAAAATAGCCATACCTGGCTAGAAGCTAATATAATTGGACAATGCAAACCAAACTTTGAAATCTAGGAAAATAACATGGATTGTTAAAAGCACATAAGTCTCTTAATGTGTTGCAAATAATTTCTTGATTATTGAAATTATACAGTTTTTCAGGGTACCAGAGCGAGGGAGATTTATTTCCTAAATTTGGGTGGAAAATGAAATCTGGATATTACCTAAATTATTCATGGTTGTATTTTCTCTAATTTCAGCAGAAGATGAACTCTTTTCAAAAGAAAAAAAAATTAACACCAACTCCCCCACCTGAATGTCAATTTTTAAATTACTTAAAAGTTTATGTTACTTAAATGTATTCAAACACAAAATGTCTTTGTTTTGGTTTTGCATTTGGCCTGCCTATAAATACCATGTGTTGTGGATCCGAGGCAGTTTTGTACCTCTTGTCTTTATTTCTTATTTTTGTACAACTTTTTATTCACCTTGCAGATATTTGGCTTCATTAGCCAAGAAGGCATAATTTATGAAGTATTTTTGTAACCATTAGTCACATACTAAAAACGATCTTTATCTTGAAGACAAGCTAGGCTCTCATTCATAAGAGAATTATTCAGGGTATCCAGAATGTGATTACTGATTTATTTTAAAAAGGAAATGAACATTAAAATACAAAAGCAAAAACAAAAGACTGACCACAGACTGCTAGAGACAAAGAAATTAGCTGGAAGAGTCCTGCAGTCCTCCAGGTTAGGCGTGTGTGATACATGCCGTAAGCAACAATGTCTCCTTTTATGAATCACCAGGTTTTGATAGGTTAAAGGAAATAGCTGTGAATATGGGATAGTACAACTCTCACACTTCTGGTTTTCAAGTGACCTCTAGTTACAATAACCAATTGTTGATTAAGCTATCAGTCTCATGTAAAAGTTTAAGAATTATAAAATGAGTAGCTATCTATGGAAGAACACTGTAAACCATAACATCCATTACATGGAGTTAAGAATTTGTTTTGAATTTAAGTATTAGATTTAAAATCCTTACCTAAAGAGCCATTCATGTGATGTGATTCCATTCCTCCTAATCCACCCATGGGGCCATCTGACCCAGGGCCCATTGGAAACTATTTTAAAAATGAAGAAAATTACTGTAATTACACTGAAAACAACTGTTATCTCAATGTTAGATAATATCTATGTTTAATGTTACAAGATATAGCCATAACTTATTTTCAAGTTATGGTAATTTTTACTTGATTTTCTTCAACCTTATAGATTCTCTCACTGGACTGCCCTAATTCTCTCACCTCACCTTCTCTATGTTCCTTAATGTTTAGGCTAATCCTCACTGTTATCTAAATTTTTCTTCTTCAGATATCCTTAACTAGTGCAAATGAGACGATGAGGATCCTCTTCTGTGATAAGACAAATTTTCTATTAAAATCCAAAGTTGTTTCTTAAGAAGCTGCTAAAGAAATTGGTTCATTAATAAAAATAATTCAACATCATTATGGCAACATTTGTGTGTGTGTGCATTGTAGAATGGTTGTAGCTACTAATCGTGATGGCTTTTGGGGAAGAATACCTGCCAAACCTGGAGATGTTGGCCTTCTATCACTGTGAACATACCAACCACATGCTTATAAATCTCCCTAGGAGAATGCCATTTTTTGCTTTGTAAAATTGAGGATCTTAAAACCTCATGGATCAATTTTCAGTAAATAACTTGGGATATATACATGCCTCACTGGTAAGTCAAAGAGATTGATTTTGGACTTCACGTTGTCATTCAGCTTTGCGTCTGGGCTGAGAAACTGGTGAACTTATTTGGTTTGGTCCTTTTATCTGGCCCCTCAGGGTTTTACAAGACACTAAAACTATAGGTATATAGCTTTGGTCAATTTGGCACATAACATACATATCTCTTGACTCTTCTTTGATTTCAGCTACCCTGTATATAAGCATATTGTGTATTAACTATAATTTGTTATAAATATTTTTTTACATAAATATTTTACTAATATTTTCCTATGAGCTTTTGTGGAAAAAATCATGAAGAACCCTCAAATTCTTTCTGTATAATTGCTCTAGCTCCTTATTTAAACTCTAGATTTCATATTCTAAAGAAAAACAAGCATATTCAACTTCCTAATTTATTTTCAAGTTTATGATGACTAAAAAAAAATCACAGTAGTGATTTTTTTAGTGATGCTAAAAATAAGGTCAACATAAATGATTATTCATAAACCTGTCAATTAGGAGTAGTCAGTAAGATTATTAAGTATTTAAGATAAAATGACACCAACATTCTATAACTGATTGGGTTCATTCAGTTTTACATTTAAATTATATTGATGTAAAATACGGTATATGTTGTGTATCATGCTTTTTCAGCCCAGAACATAGAAATAATTTGATTTTTCTCATATCCAATAATCTCCTGTAGAATTAAATATGAAGTTTAAACAATGTCTTCAAATATATTCCCCAAATTAAAAAGAAGTCATATTTACATTAGGTCTGTTAGGTCCAGGAGGTACTGCATTCATTAAAGTATACATGTTATCTCCAGAGTTGGTTGAATCTGAAACAAAATATTATTAAATTAACATTTTTTTCCCCAAAATCTACACCTGTCATCACAAAATAATAAAGATGATCAGGAAACACACATGTTGACAGCTGCAACACTCGACACTGTCATTACTTATGTTCAGAAACAAATACCTGGCAGGCATTTTCTGACTTAAAAATTGTTATTCTGAGTACAAAAACTGGGTATTTGCTTGAGAGGAATAATCACTTCAATAATTGAGGCAAAAGAATATTTAAAAGTCTAAAAAATTACAGTAAAGTTTTTCTTTTTTAAAGAACAGATACTTTTTGACTTTTCCAAACAATTATATGTATACATACAACAAAAAACCCTCAGATTCAGTAACTTTTCATGATTTTCTGAGGTCTTCTATATATACATTTAAAAAAACAGCTTTCTAGGTAAAAATTTTTACTAAAAATTATTTTAGTAAAAGCTGGTAGAATATAATAGAATAAGACTATACAATTGAAATGAAAAATTCTCTTGCTTGAACTAAATGCCAGCTTCCTCCAACATAGCTTTTCAAAATTGTTTTCCCTCATTTCATTCTTAATGTTATAATAAAAATAACTGTGGTGTATATTCATATATATGACATTATACAGTATTTTAAAAATGTATAGTTCACATCTATTAGCTAATTCTAATTAAGTCTCAGAGTGTATGTACTTTTAGAATATAAAACCTAGAATGAAAGGCTAAATATTTTACCTTGTGGAAATACCAATTATAAAACATGGCTTTCTATTTTTACACATTATGACATTTTCTTAAATGTAATATAGTAGTCTTCTCTATTTTTAAAATAGATGTATTTCAAAAGTTTTGCACTGATCTTTGCTTTCTCATGGCAATAACCACAGAGTGGGAAATGGGCAATTGCCCATCACTCTTACTGTATGATTACTTATTAGACATTCATAAGTTTATTACTTTAGTGCGCACCACCTTACAGAGTAGGCATGGTGTAGTTTTTTGGCTCTTGCCAACAGTGATCCATAATGTAAATATCATATTTTACTTCTAAATGAATACATAACATTTTTTAAAGAGTTAGAATGCTCATCTCAGGTTGATTCTTATTTATAAGTTTATACTAAATGAGGTTCCATCCTCCTTTTGTGACTTTTAACTCTTTTTACTTCCTTATGTATGCTCAGACACGTGTCAGGAGTCTAACATGACAGGAGTCATGAGTTCAACATGACAGGAGTCTAAGCATACATAAGGATGTAAAACGAGTTGTTTTTTTCCTGCATGTAACCAATCTTTCTACTGCCATAATTTTGTTCTTCCAAATATCTTTCCAATTTCCATGTACTGAAATTCCACTTACTACTGAAGGACCATTTAAATGTTCACTATCCCATGACTCTTTTTCTGACAGTTCCAAGTGTATGAGTCCCTCAGCCCCCAGCCCCAGCTGAGTTCTGCCTTCTATTGCAGTTAATGTTCTATTGTCTTTTTCTCTCCTGCTTCCGGTTTGGATATGTCTGACTTCTTTTTATGTACAATAAAGCAAATCTTTTGGCATTTCTTGGTGGTGGTGGGGAGGAGTGGGGGAAGATACACTGGTGGCAATTTCTAGCTCAAAAGGAGGAAGTGATAAGATTACTTACTACTTGCAATGTTCATTGTTACTTTAAAAATTCTTTTTAGTCTTGTAGTGAAGTGTTTATTAATCACAAGCTTCATAAAGTAAACATTAACTTCACCATATAAGAATGTAAATGCTGGCTCAGCACCCATAGCACAGTGGTTATGGCTCCAGCCACATATACCAAGGCTGGAGGGTTCAAAACTGGCCCGGGCCAGCTAAACAACAATGACGACTGCAACAAAAAATAGCCAGGCATTGTGGTGGGCACGTGTAGTCCCAGCTCCTTGGGAGGCTGAGGCAAGAGAATCACTTAAATCCAAGAGTCTGAGGTTGCTGTGAGCTGTGACACCACAGCACTCTACTGAGGGAGTACTTTTGAGACTCTGTCTCAAAAAAAAAGAATGTAAATGTGGGCAAGATAGTCAATTCATGTAATTCAATGAATTGTTTCATTCTCAATTAAGATGTTTGAGGACAGAGATGAAATATTTCTGGATACAGCCCAAAGAGTTAGTGAAGCAAAGTAAAATTTTGTATTAATTACCAAATTGATGATTTTTCTAAAGAGAAAAGTTCAGAATTAAAAATTATTAATTGTTAGTATAATTGGTGATACTAAATTTCAAGCTTCTATATAGTTTAGATTTTAAAAAAATAGTTAAGAGCATATGAATTTAACTGTGAAACATAATTAAAAATTATTTCTCATTATAAAAAATTCCTATTTTATCACCCACGATTAATCATTGGTACAGTTTTAGGCTATTTGTTTTTTACTTTTTAGATTTACTATATATATTTTAAAATAAAATTGTAATATTATAATGGATTATGAGCACTTGTTTAAAAATTCTTTAATAATAATTTTAATGGCTATACTATATTACATCTTATGCTATAAAAATTAATTTAATAATTTCACTAAAATTGGATTAGTTCTAAAGGTTGTGTCTGCCAGTTCATTCTGAATATAACAGATGAGTATCTTTCTACATAAATCTTGGATTATATCTCTATCATTTCCCATACTAAGATGACGAAGTCAAATGCTTGGCTGGGCCAATTTAAGATCCCACCATTAATGTACCTAAGACATGCTTAATAGTTTGTCTCAAAAAGAAAGGATAAAGGTACATTAAAATAATTATATAAGATGATTATGAAAACACTGAAGTATGTTTTAACTTAGACGAGTTTTAAAATTTTCTTGTTATAATGGTGAATTTATTAGCTAATTAATAAATATCTATAGACGTACATGGTAAATAATACTGTAAGCACATCTTTATTCATTGGAGGATAGATTTTATAATTAAACCTAATGGATCCATTATTTAATGTTTTACTTATGTGTTATTTTTCTACTTTGTGAGATTTAGATCTTTTTAGATTTAGAAGGCATCTCTGAGTTAGACAAATTATTGGGCAATTCATATAGATCAACAGTGTTCATCCTGATTAAATCTGTTAGCCATACAATACGGATTTTCTAAATGCTTAATCAGATAACAGTTAAAAATACCCTTCCTACCTGCTACCTCTGTGATTTGTCTTTAGTCATCATGAAATAATGAATGCTATTAACTTTATTTCATAAACATTTCTATATTTTATGATTTTATTTTAATAATAAAATGCCCACATGGCTAGTTTGATTACAATACCTGCTGGACTAGGCATGATGGGTGTTCCTGGTGGCCCTCCACCTCCTGGAGGACCCTAAATAATTATACAAAATTTCAGTAAAAATAAGGCATTGTATTAAACAACATAAGGAAAAACAGAAGAAAAGTTAGACTTAACTCTATAATAATCCAATTTGAAAATAAAAGAGGAAATATATTTTATCCATAATTTATTTTCTTTGAATGCATAATCATTTCAATATTATGCAAAAGATAATTTAGCTTAAATATGTTGAGACTGTTTTGACAAATTTCCAAAAACAATGAGCCTGTAACACTCATTTATTATTCAGGACTTAATCACATCACTTTTAATGAGGTTAAGGAAACCATTTAATAGGGTCTTTACAGATCCATGAAGTAGAAATAATTCATGTGTATTTTTTATTTCATTTACTGTAATTTTCTTACATTTTATATCATTGGTTTTATAGGAAACCAAAAGATATTTACATACAGAATATCTTTTGAAAACCAGAAAATATTAGCTTAGAGATTTATGTTTTAAAAAAATACATTGATGCTATTTCTTTTTTCTGTTAGCATCAACTGTAACACTTTCGGAGCACTGTACCTTCCGTTTTCACATCAATTAGGAATGAGAAGCAATGTTGACTAATGCTGTGGGTTACCAAGGCTGCAGCTACACAATCAAACTGAAATGGAGATTAGGTAATTCTAAAGTTAATTCAATTATTTCACACAACCAACATAGATACTTTAGGCAATAGGTTTTGGAAATTTTCAGAATACTCTATGTATAATGATCAAATTAACTCAAAAGTGGCTAAATTTTCACTTCATTCTGAGTGTGTAGATATAGCCTATAAATCATTTCAAATAATGTATATACTTGCTATTTAATATAAAACTTAAATTCTAAATCACATAAAGGACTATAATTTCATAAAATCATGTATTAGGCTCACTCTTAATGACTTTAATGAAAAATACACTGTACTCAAACTTTTTTACTCTCATGTTTGTTTCATAGAAAATAGGAAGAAAGTTATACTTTCTTAGTTTGTATCACTTATAGGATCAGTGGAGACTAAGTTCACAGACCAAAGCATGTGTGCTTTTCACTATGTTAACAAAACTCTATTTCCATGGAGAGTACAATACTCATCAATTCCCTTCTAATGCATTCCTTTTTGCCTACACCAGTTCGCCACCACTTCTGAAAATTTCTTTAGGAATGATTTCTTTGTCACCCATTCATCCTTGCTTCTCTATTAGACATTTCTGCCTAAATATTTTGACACTTTTCCCCTAGGATGGTCCTGAGATGTAGTAAGGATCTTAATGTGATGAAGTTTAAAAGGTTATTTCTAAGTTCAGGAAGTCATAAAAAAACCTGCTAATTTGACTTCATAAATTATTGAAAAATTTTAAATGTAATACATAATAAAAAGAAAAGTAAGTGTTCTCAGTTTCTAAGAATGACAAAAGCTGCCTGATCACTTTATAACTGGGAGAAAGTTTAATGTCTTCTTGGAGTCTGTGTGTGGTATGTGGGGATTGAGAGGGGTGTAAATGCTTTTCCTAGAGAACTGCATAGTCAAGCATATTGTTGTGTTAACTGGGGATGACTCTCTTCATGATTGGACAGAGAGTATAGTACTGGATTTCAGAAACATATGCTGAAGTAAAACACAGTACTCAGGGCAATTCTGGCCAGATTGATAACTGTTTCACTAATGAACATCAACATATGTACTGAGGTTGGCAGATGAAACAACTCAAGATGTTCACTTCTTGGCCAATACACAGGGGCTCTTCTTAACATCTGGACGACTATTTCATTGCCCAAATAAAACGTAACATCAATTCTTATGAGCAAACAAACCCAGTTGTACTTACTACATAATTCCCAGGAGATGCTGAGGAGTATGGTATCTGGAACATGAACAGGACAAAAACAAATATTTTGATTCAGGTGGCAGTAAGAAGACTGACCTAAAATGAATTTATTTCCTGACTTTTATTACATTTTAAAATGAATTACAAAGGATAATAAAGAAATTTCTATCTGTTGAAGTGCTAGAAACTTTAACAACTGCAGTGTCATTTTTGATTTATAAAAAAGAAGTTGTATTTTAGTCAAGAGGAATTTAGATAATTACTGCTTCAAGTTATGTTGGTTTCATATCAGTTACACATTACCTGATACTAATGCCTTATTGTGTCAGTAGAAAGATATACATACATTTGTGATGGTAAAGAATGGGAAAGCAGAATTTTTTAAATTAGAAGACTTTACAAGTTCAACATCTAAGCTGTGTGCATTTTTTCAAAAGACAGGTTTCAGGCTACTACATTCATGTAGTACAGGTCAATACTTGATTTATAGGCCTTATCTTTTCCCCTTTCCCTTTCTAATTAGCTACTAGAAAATAATGTAATAAATCCAAGAAGTCTGTAAATATGAATCTCCAAAGACTACTAATTTGTGGGGATCAGAGATGAGTAACACATTCCTTCCTTCTCTTCAAATCAAGCTCTTACACTAAATTCTCTTGTAAAGATTAGAAAATATTGATACCATGTTGTTGTGGTAATTTAAGAAATGAAAAACTAAAAACCTATATTTAAAAATAAGCTCTGGAGTGCAGATGTTAGTAGGGAAAGTTAAATTTAAATATTTTCTTTTGTCACACAAGATCACTTGCATGAAGATACCATATATCCTAAAAGATATTTTTGCCTTATTTTGAAAAAAGTCAATAAATTACTGTATTTGGAAGTCAGACAGCCAGGGCCAGCATAGGACTTTTAGAGTAGTGAAAAGATTGTATTTCCTAAACCCTCCCTATATCGCAATACCTGTCATATAGTTAAATATCAAAGAAATATAGAAACATAAAGTAAGTTGAAGGAAGTACAACGAAGTTATGATTTCCCCTCTATAAATTCTTTGATGCCTTTTTGGAAATATTTAGTATTAAGTTATTTGAGAAGATTTTCTCCCTATTGTTTGGTATCTTTACTTTGTATCAAGCACAGACCACAAGTCCTGGAGGCCTCAATTTTTATGGCAGTATTTACTAACTTTGGTGAATGAATATAACTTTGCTCTCTTGGACCCTTTCAGTTCATGATCTACCATTCATTCTCTGATTTTCCCTATTTAAACATGTGCACCTGCCTTTTCCAAATCAACTTGTCCACTGGCTCCTAGGACCAATTTCATCTTCCTAAGTCTTTGGTACCTGGCTCATGTTCTTTTGTTATTCTGCATTGTCTACCAGCATTCTTAAACAACTTCAAGATACAATCTAACCACCCCTTAGATCTTTGGAATTTAATTCATTGCCTTCTTTGACTTCACCCTGTATACTTTACTGCTCTATCTTACAATTATGGGTATGACCACATTCTAGAACTCTTTACACAGAAATCTGGACAACTCCTTGCCTGACATCTTTCCTCTTCTTCCTGACACTCAGAAAAATTACTCTATCTTCCAACTATCATAGAATTGGAGTACATTAAATAATGTCTATTAGTTTATGACTAAATTGCCTGTTTTTCTCGGAGGGAAACACAAAGCAAGGTTGACAAGGTCCAAAAAATAATCATGTGCTTCAACTTCTACCTAGTCTCTACTAGGATCTGGAAGCATTCTGGCTTACCCTTAATAAAAGCCCTGAAGTTTACTAGCAATGTGTCAGTAAATCCAGTACATATGGGGGGGGGGGGCGGGAATCTCTGATTTGTAGGGTTAGCCAATTTCTATGGTGTAAATATTCCTGTATGTTGGATTTTAAGCTACCAAGTGTTTAACAAGAAGGTTCACAAAATTTCTAAATATTTAACAACTGACACTTGTGAGCAGCCCCTCATGGTGATTACTCCAACCTGGGAGGATCCTTTGTCCTCCTGTCATACATTAACACCATCAAGTTCTTACTCTACCTTCATTTTCAGCTCAACACTCCATTGTTTACAGGTTTAAATTTTCATCTATTTATGCCGGGTAGAGAAAAACAAACTTTCTATTTGTTTCCAAACCTAGCTCTTCCAACCACCCCATTCTCCTAAGTCCTTAGTCCTTTTCTATTTTTAATTTCTCTTTCTTTGTGACTCCTTCAAAAGATAGTTAGATATAATAACAATTTAAAATACTTTCAAAAATGTTATCTCATTTAGTTCTGGATTTCCCCCCCTTTTTTTGCTCTGTCAGGGTCTTTAATTTTGGCTTATACTGTTTCTACTTCACATTGTTTGATGCCCTCATTAAAAATCAGTATTTGGGCTTCTATCCCTAGAGCTTACTAAACTTGTACTCTTGAAAGTTCCCAGCAGGATCTGACAGCCTAGTGTAAAGGACATAAAATATAACAATGTAGATGGAAAGAAGTACTATATGGGTACAGAAGATATATTTGAGCTGGGAAGCTGGGATTTACAGAGAGTAGATACTACCAGAAAGAGAGAACTGTTATTAAAAAAAAAAAGGAAAGAAAGAAATATGCAAATACACGGTTTATTTGGGAAATGGCGAATAATTTTATACAGCTGCTGCAGGGAGGGACTTGAGATTATGGTAAATGATGAGGGTGCATGCTCAGACTATGAATGAAGTTATGCTGTAGGAAATAAGGAGTCATAGGTTTTAGAGAAGCATAGTCAAATTCATATTTTAGGAAGATAAGTCTACAAGCATTGTGGAATATGAATACAATTCAGAGGACTATGGCAATAAGTCCAGGTAATAGATAATGAAGAGGTTGTAGGCAGGGCTGATTAAGTAGGAGTAAGAGAACTTGAGAGCCATTTCACAAATTACTTGGCAGGGCTGGGTGACAAACTAGATGTGACATATAAAGGAAGGAAGAAATTAAGGTAATTCTTAGGTTTTCAATTTGGTGAGTGGGTAGATGATAGTTTATATACCCAGTACTACATTTTTATATAGGTGATTCCAGAAGTGTGGTATTTTGGGGAAATGTCTGATATGTTGAATTTGAAGGCATTAGTATTACATATATGAAGACAGAGCTGATCAATACAAATTTAGAAATATAGGTCTACATAAACTTATTAGCACTAAAAATACAGCTTCAATTAAATAAATTTCCATTTTGTGCTACACGTAATACTTGATGTCTGGTTTGACTAGATTTTGTGATAGTTGGAACCATATGAAAACATTATAATAAATACCAGTTTAGGATTAAGTTATTAGAAGAACTTAATATTGACAGTTTTTCTTGTTTCTCAATTAGAAAACATTGCTAATTGAGAAAGGGCAGATAACGTGACACATTATCTTATAAAAAGTCAAACAAGCTAGACTTTTAAGAAGCAGAGAAGTTTGGCTAGAAAATGTCTAAGCCAGACTTACTCCATTAGCACATGTGCTGCTGAAGTAAGCACAGCCAGACCTATTCGGGAACCCTGTCAGGCTTTAACCTTTCTGTGACACACTTAAAAATAAATTATAAAAAGGAATACTTTAATAAAAATATAGAAAGTTAAATAAATATTATTGAAAATATTTTAAAAAATCAAAAAATGACATTAACAGGAATTTAAAATAAAACCAAGGAGTCAAATCTGAGACATTGGGTATTATGAGGTCAGAAAATAAACTACTATGCTTGTTTGGTAGGAGGCAGGAGGTAAGAGATGGCTACAGAATAGGACTTTCAAGGGAATTGAAATGGGTTGAGAGGGCAATTCAATACATCTTCATTCATTACCTGCTATGTTTCAGGAACTATAGTACCATGTAGTGATGAAAAAGACAGGAAGGCCAAAGAATTCATCATCTGGCAGAATGTTGGTGAAGGAGGGAGAGTGTGAGAGACACAGGATGGTGGTTTGATACCAAGGAAGGGCACAGAGAAGTTTTCTATCAGCTACCCCTTCCCAACTCTTCAGGACTAGAGAAACAGCGGTTTAAGGTTGTGTTGGGATTTTGTTCATTGGTATAGCACTAGCAGAGAGTACTAGTAGATAGAAAGGGATTGAAGGAAGACTCATTTGGAACAGTGAATGAGTAGGACATGTAAGGAAGCGACAAAAGGGGAACAAAAGAGAACAAACAGAAGAGTTAGCATTGAAGAAAGAAGAAAATTTCTATTTCTGAGGCAAGAAGGAAGAAAGATAACTTGTTTCTTTTTTCTATGTTCCTAGTTTAATTATTTATTCCTGTTCTCCCAAATACCGGGCTCCAAAGGCTTAAAGTAAATCACCTTCAACTTTTTCCTTCTCTTTACCCCTAAATCCTTCCTCTAACAGTACCCCAAGCTTCATACAAAGTGAAAGGTAAAAATGAAGTCGTAGAAAATAAACAAAATCCGTCAGCTAGAAGGTCAGAATCACAGAATTAGAAGAACTTAATATTGACAGATAAGAAAATTAAGGACCATATATATTGTATGGCTAAGCTAGACAGATAATTCAAGACCTATGATAAGAATCCAAGTAGTTTAAAATGTTTTGAGCCCTAAATATCCATAATTATGGTGCTGCCATGGAGGTCAGAGAAGTAACCAGAAGCCTTTCATTTTTTATTTTTTAAATGCTTAGTAACATTTTTTAGCAAAGTACTCTTCTTTAAGCGTGGAGTTCAAAACTTCCTTATAAGCACTCACTAGAAACCAGGAAGAATATAAAGTCATCATCAAAGATTATGCCAGTGTAAAGTCAAAGATACTCTATTACTTTTAGTTCTTGTTTAAAAAGCAACCATCTATTGGTATAAACCGAGCCTGTTTGGAATAACACATCTGTATTTCCCTTAGGCTTAATCACTATTTAGAATAGATTCCCATTTTTTTTCCCTGGAGAGTTTCCTCTTTCTTTACCTGTCAGGCTAGTGAGCTGACAAATACAATGCTATACTGAACATTTTTGGTTTTGCCTAGTCTCTTTTCTACTAACAATTCTTTTAATTTAATTTTCTTTGGTGAGCCATTCCTTATTTTTACTCCATGTGCCTTGGGTGGGCTCAGGAAGCAGTCCTGTGACCTAGGCTTGGGGATAAGTATTTTACAACCTGGCCAGAATTGTTTCATGAATGAGACTGACCAGCAAACCCAGTTCAGTCAGTATTTCCAAAGCTTTTGTTTAAATAACAAAGAACTATATTCTTTTGTGCTCAACCGGGAGCTAGGAGGATCTACATCTAGAGTTCACACACCCTTCTTGATATGATGATGAGAAGAAAGATGAGGAACTCATCTTGGTTCCAAGAGTGCATCTTGAACTCTTGGAACCAAATATACACCTGGACTTTTCAGCTACATGGTCCAGTAATATTCTTTCAATGTAAGTCTAGTTTGGTTGGTTTTCTGTACTTTGTAATCAGAGATGTTTATTTTCAGTAAAAATGCTTGATACTTAATGGTTAGAACTTGCTGTATAGCCAAATCAAAATGAACAATTCCCATGTAAAAGATAAAAATGGGTCTGGGTGAGGTGGCTCACACCTGTAATCCTAGCACTCTGGGAGGCCAAGGCAGGAGGACTGCTTGAGCTTAGGAGTTTGAGACCAGGCTGAGCAAGAGCAAGACTCCATCTCTAAAAATAGCCAGGCATTGTGGTAGGCACCTATAGTCTCAGCTACTCAAGAGGCTGAGGCAAAAAGATCACTTGAGACTAAGAGTTTGAGATTGCTGTGAGCCATGACACCATACCATTCTGCCAAGAGCAACAAAGTGAGGCTCTGTCTCAAAAAAAAAAAAAAAAAAGATAGAAAAGGAAAAAACTAGATTTGTAAATAAACTTCTAAATAAGAACTTGAGACCAATACTATAATGTTCAGAGTCAAGAAAATTAAAAATAAAAATCCTACTTTATTTCATATTAGTCAATGAAGGCGCCTTTGGGCATATTAGCAAAAGCCATACCTTCTGGATAGATGCCCACAGAGTTTACAAGAGGAACACAAGCTGTATTTTGGCTCTTTACTGACTCCTTTGACCAAGGCGCCTTTGGGAAGTGCACACGCTACACAAACTTACACAACAAACCTCCTTCACATTTTGAAGAAGTCAAGATTTCAAAGTCAAGAAGGAAAAACATCCCCAGGATACAAAATTGAAATCATATTAATTTAAAATTTCACAGCTTAACTTTCAACCAATAATGCACATAGTTACATTAAGAAAGGAAAACATTTGTGCAAACTGTTACCACAAGTATACAGTATGAAGAGAATTCTCAAGATGTCAGGTACATAGAGAGAGTGCAAAAATGGTAATTCAGCTAACAGGTACAAGGCAAAAGTGGAAACCTAGATGCAATTAATTCAGTAAATATTATCATAATAATTTGGTCTTCTCTAATAGAAATTGTTAAGTTACTGATTATTATAGTTATTTTAGAAGATCAAACCATTTTAGGACAGATCACAACATATATAAGCTATTGTAGTATATGTAGATACTAAAATCATACTATTTCTATTGTTATTTTTGAAAATATGGTAATTGACATAGAATGCATGTTTATATTAGACCTTGAAGTGAAACAAAAGACAAAATTATGCCCATTTTCCTAAAAGTATATACAAAACTTTTTTGAATGATTATTTCAAAAAAAGTTAATACAACTGGTTGCAAGGCTTTCTAAAATAAAATACTTTTGTTCGTTGTTTTTGTTAAATGTTGGAAACTGCAAAAAATTTAATAAAAAAAATACATATATACTCACTGAATTGGCATTTGTTGGGTTTGGCCAAGGTCTACCGCCACCTGGGCCCCTACAAAAAAATGATAAAACTTTAGCTGTGAATATTTCACAATAAGTAACAAAAACCCATAAAATATTAACATTTGCAGTTTGGTTACCATGTGGTTTGAGTTCAGCACTGAAATTACTCTCTTTCTAGTTAATGTTTTTATTTCTTAAATCCAACAATTTTGTCATTCCATAAAATAGATTTCTTCCCCATTCAAACTACTTTTAGTAAGCCCAGTTTTATTTTAACATTAAATTGTAATACACAAAAACAGTGATCACCTATAGCAGTAAATATGTTCATATATCTAAATCATTATAAACTATGCTTTTAGAGTAAAAAAGCACTGTAATCTTGTTACATCAATATAAGCTACTTTTATCTCATTCAAACATGGAATTATTTGTAAAATATCCACATTTGAAAAAGTTGTTATTAAGCTTATATACAAAAGGTGTGTAAAGTTGCCTCCTTTTGAAAAAAATCACAGTTGATAACACATTACTTTATATATCTATATATTAATAATCCATCGTTAAGTGCTACTGATGATTTAGTTACTATTAAATAAGGCAACCATATTTCTTGCTCTTTAAGGCAGAGGCCAGAGTAAATCCTAGAAAAATTAGTAGGTAATCTATGCCAAAATATTACTTCATTTTAGGATAGAGGAGAATGTTTTATATACCAATAAGGTCACAAAGCATCATGTTTTAACAAAATTAATGCCCAATTATTTAAATAAAAATGTCTCTTGTCCTCATGTTTTAATACTAAATAGTATACCTGAATACATATTGCCTTATGAAAAGCAGACTACTGTTCAGTAGGTCTTTTGTAATTTAGGGTCATTCAAAATTCCCTTCTCCTCCAATTACTAAGACAGTGAAAATTTTTAATTAAAAAAAATTGTCTCTTGATTACAGGGACCTTAAATCTAATGTTCTAAATGTTAGGTAAAGAGGCTGACCAAGTTAGTCATTATTTTATTCATACTTGTGTGGAATATTTAAAACTGTATTTAATTTTGTTTTGGGATTACGTAGGGATGTAAGAGGTAGGGAAGGGCATAAATCCTGTCCTTGTGTTCTATCAGGAATGCCCATTCCAGCTTGAGGAACAGAAGAAGAAATAAAGATGCCAGTGGGAACTCAATCATAATTTTAAAAACTGTGCCTCTTCAAGATGATAATGATGCAATCAATTACTGGAACATTCTAGAAAAATTATTTTACATATAGAATACAATGCCCTAATGGACAGAAACTAAGGGAAAACATAAGTTATATGTTGATCAAATAATACATGTAGAAAGGGTGGTAGGACCTATCCACATGATTTATTCAATGCTAAATAAAACACAGGAAAGAAACCAAGAAACATCTTAACACAACATAAAAAATGTAACATATCCAAATCATGGCAAAAATTTATATACAATTATGGTATGTACAGAATAATCTTACAATTTTAAAATATTTTAAAATTTGTCTAATGTTAAATTAACATGTTAAATTACACATTAAAACAAACATTTTACATCTAACAAATTAAATGTTAAATTTATATTATATAAGAAATATTTATGTATTTAGGTTTTTTAATAAATCCAATATAGTCCCAGCATACTATATATTTTATAAAAATTTCATTTTAATATTATAAGAGATTGAGTATTAATAATTCATATGGACAAGCTAAGTTTCCCCCAATATTACCATTATGTTTGAAAGCATTTTAAGTTTCACAAGTAGTGCTAAATAAAGTGGAGGTTATAGTAGTGAGTATTTCTATTAGAACAACTACTTAAGTAATTCCCACTCCTTTGGAGGGCCATCAGTATTATCAAGTAAGTAATCTACAAGGTATAACACAGACACTATTTTGCAAGAAAATTTCTATGTAAGTATTGTCTGAATTAGAATCAAATTAACATCATTTAAAAGTAAAGAGACAAATGAAATTGAAAGAAGTCTGTATTTTTTGGTAAAGATGGTGATTTTGATAAATGAAATCAACTATGACAACCAAGGAGAAAAATCCTCTTTTCTTCTGTGATTGACAATCATTTTATTTCAAGATAATTAGACAAACTTTATAATTCAATAGGCTATGATATAGAACAAGAAGACCCTTTGAAATCCTGTTCTTAGTTTTTATAAAATAGTAAGGTATACAAAGTTAAATTAGGACTGTTTTAATAGTATTGAATCTTAAATTCTTTAGAAATTTTAAAACTGCAGTTAAACATATAGCACTATTCTAGTTTCCTTAAATAACCTAAAATGCATTTGAAAACACATTTTAGCCATAGTTTACAAATTCTACTTTAAATGAGTTAAATTAAGCTTTTGCTTCTAAATATATAATACTAGTTATAGCAACATTGAAAGTTAACTTTTATTTTAATTCTAAATGACACTTTGTGTAACTTATCTTGAGTTTAGAGCATGAAAATGTAAAGATTATATCTGAGTAACCATTTTCTTTGGAGATGGCCATTTTTTTTTTTTAAACAACAGAGATGTCAAAATTCTGTTCTAAATGCTTTATTTTACAATAAAGAAAGAGAGTTTTGCCAGTTAGAATATGGTACTTAATTACTTTGGTTACCACGTTTGGATATTTTTCCATTGCCATTATATTTTCATGAAAAACAAGAAAAAATGACAAGCTAATGAAAAATAAAGCCAGGTGCGTTGGCTCATGCCTGTAATCCTAGCACTCTGGGAGGCTGAGGTGGGTAGACTGCCCTGAGCTTACAGGTTTGAGATCAGCCTGAGCAAGAGCAAGATCCCATCTCTAAAAAAATAGCTGGGCATTATGGCAGGCGCCTGTAGTCCCAGTTACTTGGGAGGCTGAGGCAAGAGGATCAGTTGAGCCCAAGAGTTGGATGCTGCTGTGAGCTATGACACCATGGCACTCTACTAAGGGTGACAAAATAAGACTCTGTCTCAAAAAAAAAAAAAAGAAAAGAAATTCCCAGTGGGGGTGTTTCGCTCTTCACCTCATCAAGATAAAGTCTCAACAAAGACATTTAAAAAAAGAAAAGAAAAGAAAAGAAAAGAAAAATCATCCCTATATATGTCTCTGTCAGGTCCCTCTTGATGTCCAACAAACAAATATTTTGTTACTTAAACAGGTTAGTTAGTTCAAGACACAGTTTAAGGTGACACCATTCTAATGTGTTTTCTTTAAATTTTTAAGTAGCTTAACATACAAAAGAAATAACATGAAGAAAGCCACAAATACCAGCTAGAAATGCAAGAATTTCTACTATTAATTGCCATTAAACAGACTTACTTTGCCTTTTTTAAAGACTTATTTTGTTTGAAAGATAATGAATTATAAAATTAATTTTAATAAAGCATTACTCTATTACATGCAGTGGAGATAATATATTTTACTTTTCATGTGTCTTTATACACATCTTTGTTTTGTTGAGGCCAATATCAATATAATAATTATTCTCTCTAGATGGATCTTCCATACTTGAGAAGTTTGCCTGTTAGAGAAAAATATTTTCAAATGTAAAAATATAAATATTTACATTTCATTGTCCTTGAAGGAATCCCAATTTATAGAAAATTTAAAATTGCATAAGACTCCAAATAAAAGAAAATAGTAACAAATAATGGAAATCAGAGTCTATAAGGCTTAGAGATTTTTTAGAATCAGAAATAATACTAATATCATACTATCATAAGTAGGTTTAAAATTTTCTGGGCATTCTTTAATAAAAAACCCAAACTCATATAAACAAAAATAATCACGTTAAAATTTTGTCTCCGTAGTCAAGGAAATTAAATATTCTCATATGTCTATGCTTAAGAATATTTGAGAAAGAAACTAGACATTTTGAGCAGCTATTCTGAGTCTCTCAATGGTCAAATGAAAATAATTTCTTTTTTTGAACCAACAAAATCAGGTTTATGTAAAGTTGGCCATATGGCCAATTATAGTGCAGAGTAACATACAAGATGATTCTAGATAGATTCTTAACATTTAATGCTGATTCTAGTTGATTATACTGTTCTAAATTACACTCTATAAAATTGATTGCATTATTAAATGAGAATCTCAGGTAGCATTTACACATAACTCCATCCTATTGGTAAAAGTTTCAGCTTTTGACATAAGCACAAAATACCACTCACTCTTCTTTTGTAGCAACCATTCAATAAAAGTCTAAGCCTTTGAGGAATTTAAGAGTCAGATTTCATGTCTATCCATTTTTGGTTTCAAAGTAAAAAGATGTAATAGGAAAATTTGACCTACTTTTTCCTCCCGTTGTGTTAGTTTTGAGTCTAGCTGGTACCCACCTATTAACCTATTTTCTATTTCAGGCAAATTTGCTTTCCATGAAAATGGTTTCAGAAACTTAAAATAAAATCCTATATACATCAAGAGAGCTTATTTCACCGTATATCTTCAATGACATTAAATGATGATAGAGTTATTTAATTTGATATGTCAATAATCAAATCATGGACTGATGGAAAACATATTTGAGGAGATATCCAAAAACCAACATTAAACACTTTCATTATTTCTGGTAAACTGCCTTTAGTCCTTATCATGAAATTGATCCTCTGGTGAATTAATGAAAAGCACCATCAAGCACCTGCTGAATTACACCAGTCAGGATAAGGCCTGTGCAATTCATTCTCTGAAGGGTCCATTCTGTACCTGACTTTGAGTGTAAGATGGATAATGAAAAAAAATTCCTAATAAACTGTATTATACTGGCTAATCGAAACTACTTTCTTTGTTTTGGAAAGGCCTTTTTAGTTAGAAAACAAAAACAAAAAAACTTCTCATTTACTCCTTATCTAAGTGCATCTTGAACCATAGATAGTTCTTTAATATAGAAAATACTACCAGAGAGAATTCTTGAATTCTTCCTGTGTTGAGAGTGGTCCCAACAAAGCAAAAGTATGGATATACATATAAAAAATGTACTCTCTTTATCTCTCTCTCTCTCTATATATATATATAAACTCTACTCTTAGGAATAACTATGTCTATGTTAAAATGAAGTTAACAATATTCAATTATCTACTTCTGTAGAGTTGATTCAAAGTCCTGGCGTTAACATCTTCATACTTTTTATAAATTCCATGTAGAGACTATGTTTTTATCAAAAAGAAACAGGCAAAAGTTGTTATTTATGGTACCTGAAAATGGAAAAAAAATTAAGGCTCACAAGAGAAGGAAGAAAAACATGAGATTATGTTGTAAAAATGAAGCACATACTAGAGCTCATGTTTAGTTCATTTTTATACTACACAGAGATTGAGACACTCAAACTGTTTTATAAATTAGTGTCATTTCAGAAGACAGAAAAGCACACTTTACTGAACAGAATAATGTATCATTTTGCTTACATGTTCATTCCAGGCATTCCGGGACCACCTAAAGCATTCAGTGGGGGTCTCATTGCACCTCCATAGTTCTGTAATGATAACCAAGGGTCAGACTACCACAAAACAAAAAAACAAAACCAAAGAGGAGGGGGGAAAGAAAGGAGAGCAGGTTAATGATTTCCCTACATAACTCCTGACTGGATAAGGCCTGTGTAATTCATTCTCTGAAGGGTCCATTCTTGTACTTTTGCTTCTATTTTAACTATTTTGGCTTATGTCTTTTAATAACTACACGAATAGGTAAGATTATTGGTGCATGTTAAATGATTAAGGTATGGTTGCAATTAATATTCAACATATCTTTATTAAATTTCTAATAGCTTAATAATAGTGCACTTTTACAAATAAAACATTTCATAAATCCAAAATTCTGTTTTTAAAGAAAAGATTTATTCAACATGTTTGAAATTGCCAGACCTAGAATGATGACATAAAGTCTGGGGAAAAAGTAACAACAGGTGAATCCAATACAAGAAAGTTGAATATAATAAGCTTTAGTTCACAAAATAACATACCTAACGCAGAAATGCACTAATATATGTAAACATACAAATATATACTAAAACTAAAATATGCTCAAAATATGTATATATGAATTACATGACTCAATAAACTTGTTACTATATATTATGTGCATTCAAAGGATAAAAATATTTTAATGTTGTACTTTGCACATTGTGTCAGTTTTATCATTATCATGATAATATATTTTGACATTATCAACAACCTTCATGTTTGGCTTTTTGATACCACTATTTGTCCAACTTTTTTTTTTCCAGATAAGGTCTTACTCTGTTGCCCAGGCTGGAGTAGCTGCAAAGTCAAATTCCTAGGCTCCAGTGATCCTCCTGCCTCCCCAGTATCTGTGACTACAGGTGTATTCCTTTGAGCCCAGTTAATTTTTCTATTTTTGGTAAAGATGGGGTCTTGCTTGCTCAGGGTAGTCTCAAACTCCTGAGCTCAAGCAATCTACCTGCCTTAGCCTCCCAGAGTGCTAGGATTACAGTTGTGAGCCAACTGTTTTGAGTACTCTTTTTCAATTTCCTTTGCTGGCTCTCTTTAAATCAGGGGTCCTCAAACTTTTTAAACAGGGGGCCAGTTCACTGTCCCTCAGACCATTAGAGAGCCGGACTGCGGGCCCCGGGACCAGTCGCTGCTAAGCAGGACAGGGAGCGGTGGCAAAAACACCCGGGGGGCTGGATGAATGTCCTAAGCAGGCCGCATGTGGCCTGTGGGCCGTGGTTTGAGGATGCCTGCTTTAAATGTTGCTTTGCTTCAAGTTCTACTGGCATTTTTTTCAGTAAATACATATTTATGGATGATCTTATCTATCACCATTTGTTCAACAACTATTTATATGTTAGAAATCCCAAATCTTTATATTTTATCATGATGTCTTTCCTAAGTTCCTAGATAAATCGTATGTTGAACTTCACAGGGGTTATTTCCATCTGGATGCTATGCACACTTAACACAACTAAAGTAAACTTGAAATTACTGTCTTGTGACCAAGTTTTTACACTGCCTTCCTGAATCACCTTTTATACAATAGTTCAAGCTAAGAATTTCTAGAACTTCTTTGATATCTCTTTTTTTTCAATTCCCATACTCAGTCAGTTACTATGGTCTATGGAATTTACTTGAAATAGCTCTTAAAATAGTGCTGTTTCCTATCATTAATCTTTGCCATTTACTGAGACTACTGTTATGTCTTAAGTGGTTTCTCTAATTTAGTCTCTCCTGTTCCTACTCTATTTTCCACACTGCTTAAAGAGCTCTCCTTCTAAAACTCAGTCTTATTCAAGTCACTTGAAATCTATTATGCCCATCAAATAAATCTAAATTCCTAGGCATGGCTTTTTGTGGTTATTCTCAGCCTATCTTTCCTGTTCTCATTTCTTACAATTTTCACCTTCATTCCCCACTCCATGCCATACCCTTTAGCCTGCTGGATTTCTCAGAAACACACAATACACATTTATGCTCATGTTAACTCATCTTCCTTGGCCTATTGAGTAGAAGGCACTAATATTACAAGGAAATAAATCAATGAGAGAAAGTCTGTTAACTTCAGAGAGTAAACCATACCTGATAAATGAAATTGCCTATTTATATGCTGTCCTTATTGTTTTATTTATCTAAATGTCTAGATTTGTGAGCTATGGGATAGGAGGAGTGGTTTCTCTCCATATCTGAGCCACTGGTTACAAGACAGTTAATTCTTTTAACTTCTGGTTCAAGTATGGTGGTGGGAATAGCACCACCATGGTGCTATTGGTGGTTTAGCAATGGGTCTCTGAGAAAAAACACAGCTACTAGAAACAAAGTCTAAATGGTAAAGTGTACTAGAAATGCTGCACAAGGAAAATCTCTCTTCAGCTTTGGTCTTAGAAGATCTGTGTTTATCAAGGAAAAGATTAATTTTCCTTGTAACTCTGGACATAGAAAGACATAGGTTTGAATCTCTGTTGCCACTGTCCTTTTTACTCTGTCTTTCTGTATGTGTGATCTTGGGCCAATGATTCTCCCAGTGATTTCCTAAACTTAATTTACTTATCTTAGAGTGATATTATTATCTCATTCTTAGGCTTGTTGGAGAATAAAATGAAATATAAAGTACTTATCATAGTATTTGGTTAGAGGTATGGTATTTGTGCTAAAAAATTACAGCTACTAACTCTAAATCACTGTTTATAAGGGACTAAATTAAATGAGTCCTCTTCTCATTAGCTTCCTTAGCACCCTCAACACTAACAGAATTACTTGCTTGTTACATAAAGAGTATTTCTTTTTAGACTTTTCCCATCATATAAGAATTTTCCTTTATGTATCAGCATCTCCCATCAACAATGAATACCTTGAAAGCAAGTATTTGTGTGCCCAGTGTTCAAATATAGTGTCTGGCACATAGTAGGCCCTCCATAAATGATGGACTAATTAAACTGAATTGTCAAAGGAAATGAATAAGAAATTATTCAATACATATTTGATGGATTTACAAAATATTTTCATTTTCTGAATAATCTAAAGCAAAGAGAAATCAGAAAGATAAGAGAGAATAACAACTTGCTTTCCAAGTGGCATCAACAAAGGCAGGATGGGAAGAGCTAATTTAGAATCACTGAATTTTAAAGCTGATTGCAACTACACAAGTCCATCTGGTCTAATCTCTCTCCCAATGCAATGTTCCTGACAAAATGGCTGTTCAGACTCTGCTTGGGAAGTTTATAAAGTCTTTCCATGATTGGGCAGTTTAATTTCTAGAAAGTTCTTTCCTGTACTGAATTCTACCGTCCATCTTAGATTTGAAAATACAGAATCAGTTTAACTCTCTCTTTACATGACAGCCCATCATATATTTCAGTCTCACCATTTCTCTGCCCTAATTATTTCATTTGGAAGTCATATGTTCCTACTTGTCTATAACTTATTTACCCTTCAGATTTCCGAAGAAACCAGAACTAGCTGAGTGGTTTTGGTGAATTTTTCTGTTAATCATATGGCATTTGCTGAGCTTAAGAACATAAGTTAGCTAAGTACGTTTAGTACATTACTAGATGTACTAAATTAACTAGAAAAATGACTTCAAATATGGTTTTAGAAAATATATTCTTTTCTTGATTAAATAGGTAATTTTGATTTTCTATTGAAAGGACACTAATACCATTGTGCTCAAATCTAAACTAAATTATGGAGTAGGAAAAAATATGCCTGGGTTTGTGTAAACTTATTTTTTCGTCCACACAGTATTAATCATATTTTACTATATTCTATCTGTATACTATGCCTAAATCAACATAATTAAATAATCATTAGATTTTATATATATATTTCTTTGTTTTAGGAATTCAATTGTTCTAATAGATAACTAGTGATTTTATTCACTACATTATTCTAAAAAAATTATGGAGGTAATATCTGTGATAAAAAAAGAGATGTATATTTTGGTGCATAAAGCTACAGAAAATATTCAGAGACTTTTTCTTTAAAAGGCAGAAACATTCAGCTCTTTGATGGTTATCTATATGATTAAATGTCTGTTATGAGAGTTGTTTTTCCATCATCTTTCAAGAAACACAGTGAACCTTTATTATAAATTTCAGTTTATAATGCATACGTTTACATATTTTATATACCAGGTGTTATAAAATAAACATGTCACAAGATTTCATCATTCCAAATGATTTTACTTATATTTTTCCTATTGTACCATTTATATGAATGATTCTTATTTTCGTTTAAATGCATACGTATAAACAATTTTCTTTAATCCTTTCATTTTTCATATTATGATTTTAAAAAGCTTTTGTAGGTAGTTGTAGTTTCTGAGGTAAATTCATACCAGAACACTTTGTTTCCATATTATATAGAATAAATAGCAAGGACACTGCTAATCTAGATGGAAGAAATAAAATTTCTTTAACTTGAAAAATACCAATTAAGAATTCAGAGTTATAAACTTGGTTATTAAAACTTATCAATAAGTGATCACTCACTAGAAATAGAAGTTTTTTATATTCTGCTATAATTTACTTATGATACTAAACATGTAAACAAATAACTATTTATAACATAAAGCATTAAAATCTGTATGCTTTTTATTTCTACATTTTCAAATGAGTTCTATCTGTTCATATAGCTTAGGTAAGCATTGGCATACCTGTTCAAATACTGTGAAACTATCTTAAATCAGACAATTATTAAAGTATTAAAAATTAAAACTAATAATAGTTTGAGAATGACAGAAGTTTAAAGAACTGTTAGCTAAAAAATAAGTGAAATGAGTGAAAAATAATAATGAATTATAGGCATGAAGTTTTTTTTTGTTTGTTTGTTTTTGAGACAGAGTCTCATTATGTTGCCCTCAGTAGAGTGCCGTAGCATCACAGCTCACAGCAACTTCAAACTCTTGGGATTAAGTGATTCTCTTGTCTCAGCCTCCCAAGTAGCTGGGACTACAGGCACATGCCACAATGCCTGGCTATTTTTTCTGTTGTTGTTGTTGGTGTAGTTGTCATTGTTGTTTAGCAGGCCTGGACCAGGTTCTAAACCACCAATCCCAGTGTATGTGGCAAGCGCCATAACCACTAAGCTAAGGGCGCCAAGCCAGGCATGAAGTTTTTAATATATAATATATTTAAAATGTATCTAAGGACAATCTTTTGAAAAAAAAATCCTTGAAGTTCTGTACAGCTAAATCAGTTAGCCTAGTGTAATAAGACTAAAAGTACCATATAGATCTTATATATTCTAAATGCTATTAAGAACTTAATGATGGTTGGTTAACATATAATCATCATTCCTAATATGTATACAAAGAGGGAAAATAATTTAAATATCTAAATTAGAGTTTTATAAGGTCTTAAAATATACAGAAAATTACAGGAAATAAGTGAGTCTAAATAAAAGAAATTGGTTTATTTTGGCTTTGGGGTTGTGACTTATATTTATGTGGCCCATTTGCTCCTCTTTCATGGGAGGAGCAAATGGACCATATTTATGTAGTATATAGGGTTTTTTTCCTTGTAATATCGCATTTCTGAAAAATTTGATTATATGGGCTTCATATTTCAATACAGTTAATATATATTATTGTATGCTGGTCAGAAACATTTATGCAACATGATACAACATATGTTATTGTATGTAGGTCTAAGTCACTCTACTTAGGTGTTGAATTTTAATTCTTTGACTCCTTTGGGAGCACAATTGAACACTGATCGAATTTTTTTAAGGTAGATATATGAAACTAGTTCCTCCAAGTGTCACTTCTAGTGCTCATCTTGGAAGGGAAAAATAAATACATTCATTCTTTCTTTCAGGCATATGACACGCTAACCTTAGTTTCTTTGAAAGACATTATAAAATTAATTTCTAACCCAAGTAATTTTCCGAAGAGAGACAAAAAGGATGTTTTAGCTAAAATAAATGATATCTGTGAAGAATATGCTTAAAATTGCACCAACAGCTAGGACAGGTTCACCTTTAGCATATACTTCTGGGAAATGTTGATAGAGAACGGCCAACATCTGATGTATACTGGTAGTATTATGCCTGTTCAGTAAGATCCTTTTGTTTGTTTGTTTTTTGCAATTTTCGGCTGGGACCAGGTTTGAACCTGCTACCTGCAGTATATGAGGCTGGTGCCCTACTCCTTTGAGTCACAGACATTGCCTAGTAAGATCCTTTTTAATGTTTATTTCTAAATGACTTTCTGCTATTTTCCTGTGCTCTAAAGAAATTTGGTTGTATATAATAAACTATCAATGGCACTCTTTCAAAGATTTATAGAAATATATTTTAGGCTTACCCTATTTAATATTTTCAATCAACTGGGTTTTATTTAACTTAACAAATTCCTCAGGATAACTAAGAAGAGGGTAATAGTTCTTTCTTTGTAACAATTGCTAGAATGTATTTCTCTACATTGTTTTCGCAAGAAAAGTAACTAAAGGCTTATATGACAACATCTTGTTAAAATATGGTTTGTTGTTACATCAATTTAGATATGTCACAGATATTCTGCCCTCAAGAGTATAACGACGACCTTCTATCAAGACTATATGGTGTATTACTCAAAGATGGCAAATAACATTGTTTACATAGGATGAAGACAAAAAGCTCAGCACCTAGCTTTCTGCACTGATTATTTACCTGTGGTCCTAAGGGCACCATTCCTCTTGGAGGAGTCATTCTCTGCATTGGTCCACCCATATTTGGATGTCCTAAAAGAAGGATGATGATTTTAGCAATGAAATTGAGCCTGAGTGCTAAGCCAGGGGTTAGTGGCCTCTTCCTTGCTGGGTGTTACCATGGTGTTGTCCATGGCCATGTTTCCACCTCTTCCCAGTTGCCCCACTCTCTCCATTAAAGTCTTGATTGAAATTTTCTTCCTTTTCTGTGTTGAATTAATTCTTTCACACCATTTGTGTCTCCTTTCATGGGATAGCACAATAGAGTCTTAGATCTCTGTGGTACCTAAATAAGTATCTCCAAGGAAGGACCTGATTTGGGCGGACTGTTAAAGTGATCAAGTTGCTTGCTGCACAGCACCCTCTTTTCTTCTGCTCCTCTTTCAGGTGGACTAACCTCTCCATCAGAAAAAGGCAGAGGAACTCGTAAGTGATATATTAAAATTATTTAGCTTCCTACTTGTTGAAGCTATGAAAAGGTCTTAGAAGTTATTAATTAAAATAAGGATTTTTGATATTTATGTATTCAGTTTCTTATGTTATCACCACACTACTATGCAAACATCATTTGGCCAGATTACCTGCAAAAATGCAGGAGGTTTAATTATGAAAGATGTATGTAACAAAATTTTTCTTAAAAAATGAATCAATTCCTCTGTGGTTTGTACATCATTTTACTGTATTTTAGAGTAGTCACCTTGTTGTCGAGTCGGGTCCATTCCACTGGGGAGTAATGGCTGACTTCCTGGGACACCACCAAGTGCCTAGTAATTTATTAAAACAAAATAAAGAGCAATATTGTAACTTTCATAAAAATAAACCCTTTAACAATTTTCATTTAAACTTCTATAACTATAGAAAGCATTTGAGTATTTCTCAAGATTCCTTATATTTCACATTCAAAACTTTTTAGGTCTATATACTGTGTATAAATATTTATTTATTTTTTTGAGACAGAGCTCACTCTGTTGGCCTGATTAGTATGCTGTGGCATCATCATAGCTCACAGCAACCTCAAATTCTTGGGCTCAGGCAATCCTCTTGCCTCAGCCTCCTGAGTAACTGGGACTACAGGCACCTGCCACAGTGTCTGGCTAGTTTTATTATTATTTTTGAGACTGAGTCTCACTATGTGCCCTGGGTAGAGTGCCATGGTGTCACAGCTCACAGCAACCTCAAACTCTTGGGCTCAGGTGATCACTTGCTTCAATCCCCCAAAGTAGCTGGGACTGTAGGTGCCCACCACAACGCCTGGCTAGTTTTTCTGTTTTTAGGAGCAACAGGGTCTCATTTTTGCTCAGGCTGGTATTGAACTCCTGAGCTCAAGGGATCCATTTGCCTCAGCCTCCCAGAGTGTTAGGATAACAGGTGTGAGCCACCACTCCTGGCCTTGTATAAGTTTTTAGTTCTAAACAATTCTACTTTGCCCAATTTTTTGGCAAATAAAATAACTACCTTGGGGGAACAAAAATCTTTGCAAAAACTGTCCTGTTTTTCCCTGAGAAATATAACGCCTTTTCCAAAAATTAATTTACTAAGGATACAAAATAACTAATTTTGCTTTTTAATGTAAGCTCTCTACTTGTACAGAATATTTTATTCATTAGGGATTATAATAACAGCAGGACTAAAATGCCAAAGAACCATTTTTTTTTTTTGTTAGTCACATTATCTCTAAGAAACTATTTGGAAAAATAATACTTTGATTAAGTTTAAACAATTTGGCTGTATGGGAAAGGGAATCAGAACTTTAAAAAGATGGATATTAACAGGGTTTGTTTTATGCTAGGGCATATACTAAATCACAAGTTTCTCACAGTTGCCTGAGCAGCACTTAGAGCTGGATTAAAGTGTAAACGACTTAAACCTGCTGATTCGTTAAGTACGTATGAATACATATATACACAAAATCCTGACAACTGGTGAGAACATTTATGAAGATTGACAGTTCACTAATTTAACTTAAGGCAGGAAAATCCTATCTAGTTAGTTACAATATTCAAATATTTCAAAATAAATTTAACATTAAAAAGCTTACATATTCAGATCAGAATTGTTTCCTTAATTGTTACCACTTGGAATGCAGTAGCGAGTTAACATTTCTTAAGGAATTTTGTTATTTCTTGAATTTTTTGCTTACAAGCACATTCAATACATATTTATTGAGTTCTTACTAGATGATCTATTCTCTGCTCACTTCTCCAGCCTAATTTCTTGCCATTGCCATACTCATATTCTAACTTCTAGCTATGCCAAAATTCTTTCATTCTTTTTTCCTATTCAGGCATTCAATCAACAATTAAATGTCAACCATTAAAAACAAGTAGTAATTTTGACTTTCAAGTCTCATTATTTAAGAAATATATTTCCTAAAGCTATATAGCTGACATAGTGATTCCTCTGGTGGATCTGGAAAAAGTACATTGAAAATCTTCTGGAAAGGATTCACCATTCTAGATGCCAAGAGGAATATTTATGATTTATGAGAAGAGGTCAAAATGTCAACATCAGCAGGAGTTTGGAAGAAGTTGATTCCAGGTCTTATGGATGATTTTAAGGAGTTTAAGACTTGAGTGGAGGAAGTCACTGCAGGTGAGGTGGAAAGAGCAAGAGAATTCAAATTAGAAGTGGAGCCTGAAGATGTGACTGAATTGGTTTCTAGCATCACCTGGTGAAGATGCCCTAGGACACTGTTGATATGGCAACACAGGATTTAGAATATTACATAAACTTAGTTAATGAAACAGTGGCAAGGTTTCAGAGGATTGATTTCAATTTTGAAAGATGTTCTACTTCCTCACCTTTCTCAGCCTTTACAGAATTGAAGACTTAGGGTCTTCCTCTGGATGAGGCTTTGGCGTAAGGAAATGCTGTGGTTTGATCTGTCTAGACCACTAAAATTTTCTTCATATCAACTATAAGACTGTTTTTGCTTTCTTACTACCTTTTATTCACTAGAGTAGCACTTTCAATTTTTTCAAGAACTTTTGCTTTGCATTTGCAACTTTGGCTAACTGGGACAAAGAGGCCTTGCTTTTTTTGGTCTATCATGGGTTTTGACGTGTTTTTTTCACTAGGGTTAATCATTTCTAACTTTTGATTTAAAGTGACAGATGAGTGATTCTTCCTTTCATTTGAACACTTAGAGCAGTGGTTCTCAACCTATGGGTCGCAACCCCCTGTAACAATGAAAATACATCAGAGGCATTAGGAGGGTTAAGAACCATTCACTTAGAGACTATTGTAGGGTAATTAATAGACCTAATTTCAATATTGTTGTGTCTCAGGAAATAGGGTTGCCTGAGGAGAGGTCAAGAAATGGAGGAAGAGCTGGTTCATGCAGCAGTCAGAACACACACCACATTTATCTATTAAGTTTGCCAAACTTAAAGGTAAGTTTATCATTATCTATTAAGGTTGTGGGTTCATGTGGTCCCACAAAAATTATAATAGTAACATCAAAGATCACTGGTCATAGATCACCATGACAGATATAATAATGAAAAAGTTTGAAATATTGTGAGATTTACCAAAACATAACAGAGACACAAAGTGAACACATGCTATTGGATAAATGGCACCAATCGACTTGCTTTATACAGGGCTCCCATAAGTCCTCCATTTTTAAAAAATGCAATATTTGAGAAGCACAAAATAAGTTATACCTGTGTATTTCCTTGAATATCATTATATATTCCGTTCATAGAGATTAAATGCCCACTGGTGATGAAAAGAGTGAATTTCTCAGTGATTTTAAGATTTTTCAGTTAATATTTTTTTTTTAGACAGAGTCTAAGTTGCTCTCAATAGAGTGCTGTAGTGTCACAGCTCACAGCAACCTCAAACTCTTGGGCTAATGAGAGTTTTAGTTTTGCCTCAGCCTCCCAAGTAGCTGGGACTACAGTGCCTGCTATAACATCTGGCTATTTTGTTGTTGTTGTTGTTGTTGTTGTCATTGTTTGGCAGGCCTGGGCCAGGTTCGAACCTCCAGCCCCAGTGTATGTGGCTGGTGTCCTAGCCACTGAGCTACAGGTGCCAAGCTGTAGTTAATAATTTTGATCTACCAGTTTTTCATAGGCCCCTCCAATAATATAAAATAAAACAGAATTAAATAATCAAGGAATAACTGAGTAAGAAGAAATACTAGAAATACTAAATCTATTCTCATTTTACAGGTAAGAAAACCAAAGCCAAGAAAGGCTAAGTGACTTGCTAAAAGTAATACATTTTTAGTTCTGGGGCCCAAGATGCTTTTTAGGACGTATTTACATCCTTGCAACAACATGACTGTCATTGTGTTTCTTTAAAAAGGCTTACTGGCCTGGCACAATGGCTCATGCCTATAATCCTAAAACTTTGGTTGTCTGAGGTGGGAGGACTGCTTGACGCCAGGAGCTTGAGACCAGCCTGAGCAACACAGAGACCCTGTCTCTATACAAAATAGAAAAATAAGCTCAATGTGGTGTGTGCACCTGTAGTCCCAGCTACAGGAGGCTGAGGCAGGAGGACTGCTTGAGCCCAGGAGTTCAAGACTGCAGTGAGCTATGACCATGCCACTACACTTCTAGCATGGATGAGAGACCCTACCTTAAAAAAAAAAGCAGTATCAATACCAAAAAAACGAAATTTACTGTAGGAAGGTGTTTGATGTTTGTCTCTATAGCACATCTCTACTTTTGACTTACATATTTACTTGTTTTTCTTTTTTTTTTAAATATCTCAATCATAGCAACTGAACTATTTAATCTAATACTCTTTGTCATGAAATTCAGGTCCTTAGTCACACTAGTCACATTTCAAGTGCTCAAAAGCACTCAAAGTACTAAAGTTACAGTATATGACAATGCAGGTATGAACCATTTTGATCATCCCAGAGAAGTTCTACTGGACAATGCTGCATTAGAATGTCAGCTACACAAGAAGAGGGATTTTCATTAGCTTATTCACTGACGTAGCCTCACATCTACAATGATGACTGGCACACAGTAAATTTCAACAAATGTCTGTTGGATGATGGAGTATTTCTGAGAGAGATTTTATATATCCCCATGAAGTTTCTAATCAAATATGTGGCAATGAATTCTTTGTATTGGCTTATATTTAAAAAGGGTATATCTGTGACAACATAACTGTAAGGTATGTTTTGGTAAAAGAAGTGCATATTGTATCAAAAACCACCATATTTAACTTAATTTAAACTGGGTAAACTTTACTGAATTCACTATGTAAACTTTTCTTGATCTGGGAAAGAGAATAAAATTTTTTTGCCAGACACATTAACTTTGTTAATTTTCTATATAAGGAGGTAGAGAATAACTGAAAAACCGACACATTATCACAGGATAAACTCAAAATTCAAAAACATAACATTTTTAATCGTGTCTCACTGGATTTCAAATAATAATGTAAATGTTAGTATAATTAACATAACAAAAAATAAGAAAATCCCAAAGATAGAAAGGCCTATTTTGAACTGGCAAAAAAAGCTACCTTATGCTTTTCATCATTAACCACTAATTTATATTAAACAGGTATAAAATATTCCATTTTTAAAGTGGAGAGTCACTAATGCCCTCCTCCTTACACTTTCAGCTATAAGAGTCCAATTATTTACCAATATAGAACATATTTCTCTCTGTGTAGCTGAAATATTTCTTATGTTTTCATTTCATCATTAAACAAAAGTCAAATTCTCCATGTTAAATATTTTATAAAGATAGAAAACTGTTGGTAAAGAATATGCTAAGTAGCATTTATCCTGAATGAAAGAACATGTAAGAAACAGTATGAAGTTTGTTTGAAATATAGGGACCTTGGTTATACAGGAATATAGTAAATTTACTTTCAGTATATAAGTAAATGTCTCTACTTTTTTTCTGACCTAATATCTATTGATATTTTCCCTATCTGAAAAGTGATGGAAAAAATCTTTTAAAAATTAATTTGCATATAGTTATCATTCATTATGTTTTCTTCTTAGTATGTAAGAATTATACATTCAATATTAATAAAAGATTACCCTATATATTGATTATAATTGAAAAATGAAACATCTATATTTTATCTATGTGTATAATTAACTAATATGTTTTTCTAATCGCAAATGGAATACATGTTCAATGCAAACTTTAAAAATATAAAAATTTTAAAAGGGAAAAATAATTCATAACTCTATCAACTAGAAATAAAGGATATGGACCTTACAGTCTTTTTGACACACATGTGCATGTGTAAGTGTGGGAGGAGGGATTAGTGAGGGAAATGCTCTGAGTTTGTACATTTCTATAGGAGAGGTAATATGTTTTGTGCTTTCTTTTTTATATTTGGTAACAGATTACGAACACTTTACCATCTTAATAAATTTAATTCTACAGCATGCCCTTTAATACATGCATATTATTTCGTTATTTAAATATCTCATTATTTAACTACTCATCTATTAACAAAAAGATATCTTTAAGGACTTCAGTAGATTGGTCAGATGTAGTGTGCTTTTGGAATACCAAATTCAACTGCAGAATTTAAGACAGACATCAGAATTATCAATGTGTTATACCAATTCATATATCTGTTGACAGGGTTTCAATCCATGTTATCTGCTAACAAGAAAGAGTATAAAATTTCAAAATTGTATAGGATCAATAAATCAACAGTTTATTCTTGGTGTTACTCATCTCATTAACAGCTTTGATTTCCTCAACATAGCATCGAATGAACACTGTGAACTTTTCTGATTAGACATTTTATCCATTGAAGGATAAAGAACTGTTCTGTTACAGATGTTTCAACACCAAGGACCCCTTCTGAGTGCTAAAGCAGTTTCAGTGTAAAATCATAAAGTTATATATAATTTGTGGATTTAATTTCTATTTCATTTCTTCACATACATTTATTCTCTGCTATATTGCACGTTTTTGTACCCCTTCCTTTATTTTTTTCAGCCTAGTGATACTATTCCACATACCAAACACCCAGTCCTATAAATATGAAGAACATGTATTTAATCCAGAACCACAAAATATTTTCAAAACAAATTAAAATTTGTAGTTTAATTATTAGTAATTATGAAAAATAAAGAATTTATTTAGTAAAGGAATACCTTTTACATATTCAAAATGACTAGTCAACACCAGTGAAGAGGTTAATATTTCACTTTCTATTTTCTTAGATATAATCTATTAGTGAAACAAAATGTCATTAGTTTATAATCAATTTCAATGAAAACTAAATTAAATTTTTTTTTTTTTTGGCTGGAGCTGGGTTTGAACCTGTCACCTCTGGCATATGGAGTCAACACCCCTAAATTAAAAATATTTTAACACATTTTTGTTTTTTATTCTAATTAATCACCAAAAATAGTTTTGTCAACTCCAGTGATTACATAATGAAACAGAAGATGTCTGTGGTTTAAAGCTCGTGCTAATATTAAAGTAATTGTTTAAAAAATAATATAAATATAAATTATAAACTTGGATGATAAACAGCTGAGTTAATGAAGTTTAAATGTGTGTATGTGTTGGAGGGGAAGAGACAGCAAAAATTGAGCACTTAAGAGTACAATTATTTAAAATTATATTTTAGGCAAAAACTGTTTAAACTTCTTGAAGAAAAACAGCCTGTATCATAACTTTTGTATCTTTACTGTATTGTCTCTTTCTTTTTCTTTTTTTTTTTCTTTTGAGACAGAGCCTCAAGCTGTCACCCTGGGTAGAGAGCTATGGCATCACAGCTCACAGCAACCTCCAATTCCTGGGCTCAAATGAGTCTCCTGCCTCAGCCTCTCAAGTAGCTGGGACCACAGGCGCCCACCACAAAGCCTGGCTATTTTTTGGTTGCAGCCCTCATTGTTGTTTTGGTGGGCCCGGGCTGGATTCCAACCGGCCACCTTAGGATTATATGTGGCTGGCGCCTTACCCACTTGAGCCACAGGCGCCAAGCCTGTATTGTCTCTTAAAAATATAAAACATACTTGTTTTTAAAAAGTTTAAAAAGCTTGATTTACAATTTCACATTCCCATCACCAACCTCTTCCTAAAAGTGTCTTACATTTTGCTACTCTCTGTAGATAAGGAACTTAGGATAGTATCATATACATGGCAGGCATTTCAATATGTCAAATGAAGGCAATTCTAATAATTTTATCACATTTTCATCATTGATAGATAACACATGGCTTTAAAGGAATTCTAATAACACACTTAAAAAGAATTTCACATTTCCCTAATTCAGATTTTAAGAAACCTCCTATACCTATGGAGTATACAAAACTATAAATGAGGTGTTACTAAAACCATGCAGCTTCCAATAAAAGATTTCCTATACATATGTAATATATGTAATATTTAAACCTCCTATATTTATGTAATATACAAAGCTATAGATGAGATGTTAGAAAAAGCATAAAGCCTCCAATAAAAGGGCAAATTTCTGCCCTTTAAAAAGAAATTTAAAAGATCCAGGCACCTGTATCAGTAGATCTCACTCTCAACATAAACAGGTTCACCCACAGAGAAAATAAATTTCCATATGTTGGAACACTTGGCATCTGTGCACTTCCCTTTCCTATTTAATGCCATGCTTCCCTGGCCCTATGTACTGAAGGCACGTTCAAGTTGTAGCAGAAAAATGCTACAACCGCTAATGTGAGGACTGCCAAACACTACAATCATGAGATGACCTAGCACTTTTTCCTGTTTAAAGTTTTCCCCTGCGGGTGAATCTGGGTGCTGGCACTTCCTGCTGTGTACCAGAAGCAGAGAACACCAGCAAATTGGAACAGTTCAAAGACACAGCATAATTTCAGCAAAAGTTAGGAAAGAAGCAGAATTCTGCTGCTATACAGTAAATTAGTAACTGTAACTTTATTGTTCCATTTTTGGTAGAGAAGGAAGTGGAAATGAAAAGAAAATAAGAATGAAATGGAAAATATATTCTGTTAAAAGGGATCCTAGATAAAGCTAGAGCATACAAATAATAGAATTAGAGAAAGTGGCATAAATATGACCTAAAATTAAGTATTTAATTTCTTCTTGTGTTACATACATGTCCATCCTACAACTAAACTATAAACTTCTTATTAGTAAGAATTGTGTTTTATTCTCTTTAGCAAATAAATACTTAAGATGTTGAAAAAAACCATTAAAAGAATAGAACACTATGACATTTTAGAGTTCTTGTATAAGAACCTAAAAAAAAGAAAATTTATTGTTAAATATTTGTTAATAGATCAAACCTTTCTAGAAGCAGCTGTTTGCCTGATATGCCATTATAACAATTGGGCAAAACTTATATGAAGTATAGAGTCATGATACTGAAACTATATTACATAAAAGTAAACCAAAGTATGTTTATAGAAAATTTTATTGCCATCCTTTAAAAGAGACTAATAGGTATTTATCAAAATTATATAAATTTTTAAAATTAGGTTCCAAGAATAAGGCAGACTCCAAGGGTGAGCAAACTTTTTTCCTACAATGTTCCAGAGAGTAAATATTTTAGGGTAACAAACCACATATGGCTCTGTCTTGATGACTCATATCTGTAGTATAGTGTAAAACATCCACAGACAACACATAAATGTATCTGTATAGCCACATTCCAATGAAACCTTATTTATATAAATAGCCAACCCATGAGCAGAAGTTTGCCAAACCTTTATGTAGTTTGTATATTACTAGAAGTAGCATTACATGAGATAAGGAAAAGACAATTTCATATTTTTGTAAGATTAAAAAATATTTGTGGCATTGTCAAGATCTTTATCAATTCTTATAAAAACTTAAGCAGCATATAAATCTTACCTGATTAGGTATCCTCAATGGGGGCCTTGGACCTCCAGGGTACCGAGGTGACATAAAAGGCTATTGAAGTAAAAGAAACAAATAAACAAAACAAAACAAAAACAGCACAATATAAAATACAGATCTAAAAATGAACTGATTAAAAAATTTAGAATTATACAAAACATAGGTGAGTTTACTTTTCTATGCAGCTGCTTTCAGTAGAATAAATGCTTTTAAAAAAATTTTCCAAAGAAAGTATAGAAAACAGCAAAGATGACTAAAGTAACCATGGCAAAAAAATTTTTAAATATGAATTATTATTTAGATAACAATATCTAATTGGAAAAAAAATAAGATTAAGAAACAGGCAACTAAATCTCAACAAGGTCTTCAGGAGAGGGCTTACTGGCTACGCATTATATAAAATATGTTCTTACTATATAATTTTCACTGAATTGTCAGGTCTGGTTATCAATTTCCTTTGGGAATTGATAAATAAATTAAGCAGTCTCAGGACACAAAATCAATGTATACAAATTAGTGGCATTCATATATACCAACAATAGTCAAGCTGAGAACCAAATCAAAGACTCATTTATGCCTTGCAATAGCAACAAAGAAAATAAAATATTTAGGAATATATTTAACTAAGGAGGTGAAAGACCTATAGAGGGAGAACTACGAAACACTGAAGAAGAAAACAGCAGAGGATGTAAACAGATGGAAAAACATACCATACTTATGGATCTGCAGAATCAACATTGTTAAAATGTCCTTTAGTAATTTTAAACTTGCCAAATTTCACTTTTTCTTTTATAGCTTTGCTTAGAATAGTAAAGAAATTTTTTTCCAAGGGGCACTGTGGTCTCATGGGTTTATTATAATTCAGAATTGACTAATCTAGACATGGTAACTGTAGTCCAGCTACTCAGAAGGTTGAGTCAGCAAGATTGCTTGAATCTGACCCCAGGAATTGGAGGCTGTAGTGCTCCATGACTGTACCTGTGAATATACACTTCACTCCAGCCTAGGAGACAGATCACAACCTCATTTCAACAACAAAAAAAGTGACTAAATTTAATTTTTTTCTATTTTTTTTTTTATTTTGAGATAGAGTTTCACTTTGTGGCCCCCAGTAAAGTGCCCTGGAGTAATAGGTCATAGCAACCTTTAACTCTTGGGCTCACGTGATTCTCTTGCCTTAGCCTTCCAAGTAGCTGGGACTACAAGTGCCTGCCATAATGCCCAGTTATTTTTAGAGATGGGGTTTTGCACTAGCTCAGGCTGGTCTCAAACTCGTGAGCTCAGGCAATCCACCCATTTTGGCCTCCCAAAGTGCTGGGATTATAGGCATAAGCCACTGCAACGGCCTATTTATTTTTTGTAAGTTTTTTTTTTTTGTAAGAGACATTGTCTCACTCTGTCACCCATAGCAGAATGCAGTGGCACAATCATAGCTCACTTCAGTGTTGAACTTCTGGGCTCAAGTGATCCTCCTGTGTCAGCCTACCAAATAGCTAGGACTATAGGTACCCACCACTGCACCCAGCTAATTTTTAAAAACAATTTTGTAGACACAAGGTCTCACTGTATTGTTCACGCTGGTCTAGAACTCTGGCCTCAAGCAATCCTCCTGCCTGGGCTTCTCAAAGTGCAAAGATTATAGGTATGAGCCACTACACCTTACCTGACTAAAATTTAAAGTTAACATCTCTTTGCATGTTTTGACCCTAGCAGATTACGAAATGTATATTTTTTTACTGAAAGAAAAATATAGTCTTATATTAAAAGTCAAGTTAATTTATGGTGTTAGAGGAGTCAAAGGCTCCTAAACTGTGCTGACTCTGTTAGTCCAGAAATAGTTCAGGAAATATTCTACAGGTATCATCACAGTGACTGTTTAATGTTGAGAAGGAGTATATTTTTGACCACTTAGATTTAGGTACCACATTTTTAAAAGTTTACTGAATTATTCAAATTATATTTTTATTATATTTTCTAGAAAGAGAAAATTATAATTTTGTTTAGTTATATCTTAAAACACAATTACCTAAACAGACGATTATTCCTTACATGTAATATAGGCAAATCATCAACTCTTAAATGTTGAATATTATTAAGATATTAAAATGGACTAATATAAATTAAGATCCATTTATCATACAGTAAGCAGACAAAGGCTTGGTCAAATTTATAGCACTTTACAGAATTAGATCCTACATTTACAATATATTTTCTACTTTTTTAGAAAGCAAGCCTGCAGCTCATGGCTATACATGTTTTCCAGGGCTGTTTTAAAAACAGCCTCTGAAAAATAAAATACTAATTAATTTATGCTGTCTAGCTTTCTTTCTATGGCATCTATTGCAGAGTTTGATAAACCAACAAGAAGAACTTCACAATTAAGCAAGCAATTTGGCATTTCACTCACGGTGCTCATATATAGAAGTATGTTCCCATGAGTTCATTTTATATGGACAGAAACAGTAGGTTATTCAGGTCCTATTGTTACCTCTGGCTGATAAAACCTAAGTAGGATTTCTAATTTTGACAAAGTTTATTTTAAAAATGTTTATCTTTCATATACTTGATCAAAGTTGTCCCTCTTACCATTTTGAAACTAAACAAAATTGGATTAGTAAGTTCACTATAATAAACTACCAACTAGAAACTTACTCTAACATTCATACCCCCTCTGTTATTTTTTTCTCCTTTGTAAATTACCTAATTTCATGTACAAAATTGCCTTTTAAATTTGGACTCATTTTTAAAATTTGATAATTAAATATTGTGTCATTGGTAGTGTCTTTCTTTTATAGAAAGATGTTTTATGACATATTCAAAGTATATCATTTAGTTTTTTAAAGATAGAGAAATAAAAATGGATTACTAATAATTCCTGCCTATAATAAAATCACTTTGAAATGGCATACAAGGCAGAAATTTTGTGAAAGAGGTTATCAAATACCAAACATTGAGATATATACTTAGAAGTGCCTTATTTAAAATACAACATTTGAAATTTGCATGTTTAGCTGAATGTAAAAAGATGTTATAGTGTAAATTTAATGACATTTTTGGAAAGAGAATCTTTTTTTCTAATGGATGACATGGGGAATGAACATGTGGTAATAGAATTGTCTACACCTTCCTCCCTGACTGTGAGGCCCTATCTGTGGACTGCTGTCAGGGAGGGTCCATGTCCTAGCTGGGAACCTGCAGGTTCCTGTAAAATAAGACTGAAAGAGAAGCAGATTCTGTTTTTAATCATTTGTTTACTCTTATACTTGTATGTTCATCTCCAAGAAGTTCAAATTTTTGTTTTTTTAGCCAAAAATACTGAAAAGTATTTGTAAAACCTTATAGCATAAAAAGACAAAAATCTAGTTAATTTACATAAATCTATACTTTAATATAAAATATAAAGTTGTTATGGTTAATGTATTATATAAAATTAGTGCTTCTAAACATATGGTCTTGGGCAGCACCTGTGGCTCAAAGGAGTAGGGCGCCAGCCCCATATACCAGAGGTGGCAGGTTCAAACCTGGCCCCAGCCAAAAACTACAAAAAAAAAAAAAAAAAAAAAATCAAGAAAAAACCAAACATATGCTCTTAATATCCAGATTGATCCTTACCTTAAATTATTTAGATAACTACCTTAAGTCCTTAACTGCTTAGTGAATTAGCTTATACAGACATAGCAAGAGAACCCCAAAAGGTTGCATACTAGCAACCAAGAATATTCTACACTAATGATAGATCAGGCCGTTAGTTAGATGTGAGGAGAGTGAACAGGTGATGTGGTCAGGCTACTTTGAACTGGTTTGGGGAGGGCTGACCTAGGCTATTGTGGGAAAAGGGTTAATCGCTAATTGAGACCTTGCAGGACAAGTCCTTGCAGGGGGTTGTTTCAGGGAGGTGGTTATTTTGGGGCACTAATTAATGTCCTAGGAATTTTCTGACATGGACATACAGACATATGAGTTTTTATGGGAACATGTTTTGGGAACAGAGTTAAGGTCCTGGGAAACTTCTAAGAAGTAGCTGACACCCCCACACGTAGTGTATAAAATCTAGCACTGCACTCTCCACGATGCCCACGGTTGCTAGGACAAAGCCCCACCTACTATCCAAGCTATTAAATTAACTTTTCATTTCTTGCTAAAATTTCACTTGCTCTTGCTTTCTTTAACTATTTTGGCAACTACCCTGAGCCGGCACTGCACTGCCCTAACACTAATATCTGTACTTCACTACTCAGAAGTCAGTCTGCTTTCAAATACAATTCAAAGTACTGAAACAAAATTAAATTCTTTTTTTGCAAAATACAAATCTATGCAATTACCTACTGATAATATAAATTATATCCACTGACAGATGTGTCAGTACTCCATGTACTAAACACTGGGAAGAACAGGTTCTTCAAAAGAGTCTTGGCAAGTGTGCAAGTGTGCTTGCACTTTATATTTAAAGTAATGATCTTTCATTTTTTTTTAATAGTTTGGGCATCAAATATTTGCCTGAAGGTTATCATGATAGCAAGTCAGTATTTTAAGTAGAAAAAGCCTTTCCTTGAAAGAGTTATTTACAATGTATGTGGATATAACATTTGGGAGTCAAGGACCTAGATTCTAACTTTTGAACCATCATTAATTAGCATCTTGAACTGAGATAGTTACTTTTCAGGGTTTTAGTTTCCTCAACCTTAAAATGAGGGAGTTGAACCAGATGATTTCTAATATCCCTTATAAAGTAAGGAACCCATGATTCTGTACTATTTTCAGTATCACCCTTAAATATAAAGATTTCCACAATGAAGATAGCTACAAACACTTTGGAGTGTGTGTGGGTAAGGTAGGGAGTAGGGATAAAGACATATGCTTTTTAGGAAGAAACCATCTTTATTAAGGAGCTGGAGAAAATTATTACCATGTATTATGGAGAACAAAGAAAACCTAAAGAAAAAATACTCCAACAAACAATGGTGCTCTTTGTTGTGTCAGATTAAAAGTCAATTGGGAGAATAAAAAAGCTGCACTTATGAAGGTATGCTAGAAAGTTTGTTCACTCAATTTAT